TAGTAAGAGCGATACTCTTCCCAGAAGGCCGGATCGTCTAGGGCAGCCTGGAAGCCGGCCTCCAGTTCGTTGAGACACGTTGTCAGCGCCTCCGGGACGTATTGTCCACCAAATTTGCCGAAGCGGCCACGTTCGGACGCCGAACCAACTTCATTTGCGGCTGGTGACTGTGTAGGCTCTTTCTCCTTCGAAGCAGAAACAGCGGCTGTCGACAGGCTAGAGGATGGCTCATCTGCTGCTGTGCGAGGGACTCGTCGGCCCGTGATCTGTGCGCAATACTCCTCAATCGTGCGAGCTCCCTGTCCAGCAGGGGCATTCGCCAGCTGATTGATGATCTCGCTACCAATTACCGCGCCATCGGCGACGGAGGTCACGCCCAGAAAATGCTCACGGGTGCTGATGCCAAAGCCGACGGCCACCGGGACTCCACCAGAGAGATCTTTGACCCGCTTCATCAATTCGGGAAGCTGGTTGTTCAGAGTACCAGTGGCTCCAGTGACGCCCATGCGGGACACCAGATAGATCCATGTGTCGGCAATCCCGCAAAGCGTCTTCATACGGTCTTCAGTCGTGGACGGAGCAATCAAGGGAACATATGAGAGGCTATAAAGATGACCCCGACAGGCGTTAGCGGTACTGTACCCCATTGTCTAGCAACCGGAATGATAGTAGGCAGCTTACCCGGCATCCCGACATTGGTCGCGGAATCGAACAGCTTCCTCCGGCGGTAGATCGACTATAATGAAACCATTCACGCCGGCATCTCTGCATTCTGCAAGCAGGGCGGTTTCACCAAAGCGCAGAACCGGGTTATAGTATCCCATGAAGAGGACGGGGATGCGCAGGCCCTGCTGGCGTGCATCTTTCACCATTTGCAACATGGAAGTAATTGTAACCCCATTTTCGAGGGCTTTAAGGTTTGATTTTTGGATGGTAGGTCCATCGGCAATGGGGTCTGTGAATGGAAGGCCGAGTTCAATGACATCTAGGGTAAAAAAAAAAAAAGGATCAATACTCCGTCGCATCAATTGCTATACGTACTGATGGCAACTCACCTGCGCCTCCAGCTTGCATGGCCAGCATGATATCTGGGGTTTCCGCGGCTGTCGGAAAGCCGGCAGTGACATAGGTCACCAGGGCCGGACGGCCCTCTTTTTGGCATTGAGCAAAGGTTCTTTTGAGATGCTCCATCTTGCTATGCCTGGAATGTTTGCAGAATATGAAAAAAAGCGTAATAAAGTCGGGAGGAGTGAGGGGAGAAGTGGCGTGGACTGGGGGACTTTATGGATCGTTCGCCGTGACTCACGCCGTCAGTAAGATGGCTCCACTAATGGCATGCCTGGCGGATTAGTCCAATTTCAATCATCTGTGCATTCCAGATTAAGAATTTACCCGGTCCTTCTGTCAGATATAAACATCGTCGCAGTGTGCGCCTTTTTTTTCCCTGGGAATTGGAGTATAATAATAAGGCTGGTTCTCAAATCATTGACAAGCCCACGGCTCGTTCGCCCCAGTGGACATCCCGAGATCGCCACCTCTCCTTACAAAAGTGAGACAGGCTAAAGACTAAAACAGGCGTGTAATAGCCGGTTGGAAGAGTTGTAAGAGCTCAGAGGAAACGACCAGAGCAATTATGCTCAGAGCCTCAGTTGAATGGGATATACAGATAAGTTGGGACATGAAGTCACAGACGAAACGAAGCAAGGGGGGTAAAGTACAAACATAAAGAATAAGAATTTGGATCATTCAGCTTGGTCGCGCCAATATAGAAGGACGAGAGAATCTATGTGAAAATGCCTGGATTGCGAATTATGTGTGCTTTTGTCAAGCGCTTGCCTCCTTGATCTCCTTCCCTCCCAGCCCCGCGGCGATGTTCACCATCGAAAAGCCATAGCCCTGCTTTCTTAGAATAACGACATAATATCTTCGTTGGTTTTCTTTGGTTGACTGCCTCCAGGAGGCGGCGATGTCGTGCCATTGCCTGACAAATCCAGGCCGGCAAAACCGTTCATCAAATCGGCTCCAGCCCCCGCGCTGCTGCTGGCCGGGGCCGGTGCGCCTCCACCATCGCCGAAGACCCCCAAGAGATCGTCCAAATTGTTGCTTCCAGCAGGAGCACCTGCAGCAGGCGATTCCACTCGCACTGGCGTTCCGGCAAGACCTTCGAGACCAGACATTCCACCACTGGGCTCTTTTTGAGCCGAAGCCGGCGCAGTTCCATCGAAATCGATGTCCAGTAGATTCTCGACGTTGCTCTGACTCTGGGGAGGGGGCGCGCTGCCAGTGACCGCGGCTGCAGCTGCAGCAGCGGCCAGTGGGTTCTCGCGTGCATTTTGAATTTGTTCCCTGAAGCCAGTGGTTAGCCCGAGGTAGACACGAATGAATGAAATGGGTTGAGACATACTCGATAGCGGCTCTCTGGACAGCGTCGGCGCCGAACCTTCCTTGACCGACAAACTGCTCTGGGGGTTTGTGGTAGACTGATGCAAGAGTCGACAGCTCAGTGAGCAGCTGCTCAAGAAGGGCAGGCGGCAGCGAATGAATAGTGGTCACAATTGGAGGCTTGTCAGACAGGACAATATCCTTAGTAGCTCCGGGATCACTGGTATTGGATAGTAAGCGCCAGTAGACATAGGCTCGGTCGCGCACATCGGGATTGTCGTTCTCAGCAGTGGCTGCCTGCAGCACTTTCTGGACGAGCCCTTGGGCCTTCTCAGGCCGCTTCAAGAAGAGCTTGACAACAGCCGTCAGGATTTGCAGCTGGGTCTAAACAGGTCGCGGTGATCAGTATACAGCATTTGTGTTGTCATAAGGGAGAGCCATACCTGGGAGAATTCTTCATTGAAACCTTCCACAAAGCCAGCCAGAATATCACCCGCATTGCTGATCTTCTCCGCATACTGACCGACAATCCAAATGAGTGCCGCACGAGCATTCGGCTCATCTAGCTCATCAATACACTTGCACAGTGTAGGGATGATACCCTCATAGCCGGGGTACTTCCGGAAAATATCTTTGATCACCACAATAGCTTCTTGCACCACGTAGTTGACCTTGGTGTTGATGAGGTCCAGCAACGTGTTGACGCACTTCTCACTAGCGCCCTCGATTTTGATCGCAACCTGACCAATCGCCCGGACGGCGCGGCGCACAAAGTCCATGTCCACCTCAAGTGCGTACTCCTTGAGCTCGGCTAAGAGCTGGTCAACGTTTCGGTCGTTGGCTATCCGTACCATGATCTCAAGTTTCTGGAACTTGACGTATGGTGGGTCGTTATACTTGCAGAAGAAGACGCGGAGTTCCTTGTTCAGGATGTCTGGCTGCTTTTGCAACAAAAGATCGATGTTTCTCAAAGCCACATACTGCACCTCGGGAGCAGACGAAACCAGAGTCACTTGACATCATCAGCAAACGGAAAGAATTCTACGCGGGCAAAGCATTCTTACCTAGGGGAGGGGCCATTTTCTTCAGGTAGTTGCTAGCCAGCTCAGCCTTGACGTTTCTCATGTGAAGGAAAACGACTTTGACGGCAGCTAGCACAACACTTGGGTTGGCATGCTGGAACTGAGGAGCAACGCGCTCACAGATGTGCTCTGACTCAGTCACTTCACTCGTTTTGTACTCCGCAAGAGTCGTCAAGATCGTGACGCGACCCCATTCCGTGCACTCATTCAGGGCCATGAGAAGCTTGCGCAGTGTGTTGGTGGTTACCTTCAAGGCCTGTGTTTCGGGAGCAGCGTGGTAGATCTCCGACAAAGCAGTCACCGAGTTGGCGACGACCATAGGATTGGGATCTCCAATCATCTCCTGCAACATCTCCAGAAAGCCGTTCTCCAAGCACATAGCAGGGTTCAGATCGAAAAGTTTGGCAACGCAGATGGCCGCAGTCTTGCGGACATAGGGCGACTCGTCCCGGAGGGTCTTCCGCAGCGGTTCCTCCATGTAATCCACCATTTTGTCAACCCGGATGCACCCCATCGTTCGAATGGCAAGAGCTCTGATTAAAGGATTGGGATCTTCGGAATCTTGAACAAAAGTATTGACGGCGAGAATACATAGGTCGGGGTGAGATTTGGCGTAGTTCCTGTCGGCCGCGAAAGACAATCAGCGTCAAGCTCGAATAACCAAGCGATGCCAAGGAAACCCACATGAGGTAAAGATAAACCAGCTTCTTTTGTTCAAGATCGCTAGTCGCAATGTTCTTGAGAACATCCGGGAATAGAGAGGAAACATCCTTGCCCAGCGTCATGGCCATGATGGTCTTCTGAATTGACTCCTTGCTAAGGGTGTATTAGATTGATTGCGCCGACCAAATTATGCTGCCATTTATCTGCAAGAGGATATGCGTGTGACATACCGTTCATATGCATACTGGGATCTGAAGGTTAACGAGCGTCAGTATCGATTCATCGGCTTGGACAGGACAGATAGATAGCATACACAAGACCAGATCGCAATTCAAAAGTCTCTCCTTTCCTGGGGACCGCAAAGGCCCCCCGAATCCTACTCATCGCCATTGTGCCAAGAAATGTCTAGCGACGACCTAGTCGCGCCTCCGCTGGTGGAAGTTGAAGTCAGAGGAGGGAATGCAGGAGACTGCGGGGGAATTGCGAGAGCTTCAGGGTGAGCCGCAGACGGGAGAATTAGAGCGGGGAAGCGAGAGCTCTCACACACTCTCTTTCTCCTCCGTGCCGAAATGACAGGAGAGAACAGAAGTATAAGTGAAAATATGTTCAGTGCAAAGAAGGGAACGAAGAGAATGAGAGTGGGAAGAATGGAGGGAGGAGAGAAGAAGGCAAGGAAGTGTGGCCGGCGGAACAAGACACTGTCAGTTAGTTGATGATCAGGAGGGAGAGGGACGGAGGGAGCCCAGTGTCCCCATCATGGATCACAGCCAATCCGCACAACGCGGCGCCCGACTAAGCGCAACCATCAACCATCCGTCACCTTAATTCCTTTCCCCGGCGGTCTGGACTAGCTCGTACTTCCTACCCCGTACATACACTTCTTATGATCCCATAACAAAGGATACCTCTTCCAAGTTCAGTCTGTTTGCTGCCATATTCATTGCAGCATACGAATCCTATGGTAGGTTACTATAACCACTACATGCAATACTGTCAATGCGCAATTATGACAACATCGCTTACCTTTACCAAAACCAGGCGAATCTCCCTAATCTCCGACGTCTGTTTGTCGAGGCCCGCACCGAGGCCGAAGAGAACGAGCACTCCAGAACTGCGGTATGCATTCCTCGAGCGCTCTCAATGCCAATAAAGAGAATCGGAACTTCAGACTCATGGATTTTTCATACAGTTCTACAACCTTGTCCTCTTTATCTCTTCGGTCGCTGTCTTCAGCTTGGTGGCTCAACGAATGGGCGGAACGAAGTCGGGAAAATGAACAATAAACGCAAAGGAAATGCCAGTGGTATCTCATACAGCTCATACTCTTAAACACCTTGATAATCCAGAGCCTGCCCCGGAAAAACTTGCTTGCACAAGCTAGCAGCATCCATGCAACATCATCAGTCTGTCTCCTCACCATCCTCACCTTCCAAGAAGGCCAGGCCTCGACGTCCCCGGTTCAATCTCCGTCTAGGCCGACTGTCCTCACTATCATCGCTCCCTGCCTCCTTTCCCCATCGCTTTGCCCCTTCTTGCACCAACTCGAGGTCGGCCTTGAGCTCACGCTCCTCACGGATGCGGTTAGCTTTCTCCACCGAGTAACGCCCTTCCATGCCGGCCTCCTTCAACATATCCTTGAGGTGTTTGATCTTGGCTTTGGGAGTGTCGAAAGGAGCCAGCTCCCTCGCCCACATCTTGCGGATCCCGCATTTTATCAGCCAGCCCTGCAGCCGTTTGATCTCCGCTTGATTGGGATCCTGGTCCGCATCTTTACCCTTGGCCGGCGCCGCTTCCTTTCCTTTTCGCGAGGATGTCTCGGCGCTCTTCTGTCGCTTGCGAACGGGTTTCGGCTCTTCATCAAGAACTACCGACATCTCACTTTCGGAATCGACTTTATCTTCTGACTGATCCTCTTTCCCATTGGCGGCGTCAGCAGAGTCATCGGGAGCGGGCTCTTCGCTAGGCTTGGTCTTTTTCTTGGTGGCGGTCTTTGTTTGCCTTTTCGTGGAAGGCTTTACTTCATCTTCATGATCCTCATCCTCAATATTGGAACTTTCATCTTCATCTGCGTCCGAAGGACTGGTTTTCTGGCGTTTGCGCGATGCGGCGGTGCCAGTCGATTTCGTTCTCTTGGCGGGCTTCGCGTTTTCTGAGGACAGTGAGGACAGTGAGGACAGTTCACTTTCAGAGTCGCTATCGTTCTTTTCTGGGGCCGATTGTTCGGCGGCTTTCTCTTCGACCTCCTATGCAGAAATTGAGACATTAGAGCGCAATTCTAAACAAAACAAACAGAGAAGGAAGTGCAATGGCGTCATAATATGAGAGACACGGAGAGACCAACCACTTGATCGCGAATGACCTCTTCACTTCTAGCTTTCCAGTCGCCTTGTGTCTTGAAGAATCCCGCGTCGAGCTTGAGCGCCTTTTCTGCCGCGAGGCGTACCCGCTTGACGGTCAATTCCTCTAACTTGCCCGATTTGTAGATATCGGCGACGGTGTCGCGTAAAGCTTGTTCCAGCGCGTCATCGGACGGAATGTCTGGACGGCCGGCCGCCGACTCGGGTTCGGACTCAGACTCCGACACCGCGTATTTGGGGGCCATCGTTGCGCTTTGTATGTCTCGACTTTACCCCGAGTTAAATGCCCGACTTCGGGTGTGTGTAGATGTCCGCTGCGTGTGGGGGGGAATGAAACAGCGGGAAGTGGCCGCGCGCCAGGCGGACGCGATGAGAGGCAGAATACAACCGCCGCAAGTAAATCAGGAAGCGAGAAGATCGACAATTGTGTCAGGGCTAGAATGAAACAAGCTTAACGGGAGGTCGATTGAACGACGTCAAGGAGAGACACCTGAACCAGCTTGCATCTGAAACCCCTGCCTCACGGAGCTTGCTCGGTTGGCTTCGGTCGGAGAGTTTAGTTTCCCAATTGCACCGCGCGACCGCTGACAAAGCCGCTTATCGGGGACTGGCGGTCTTCGATAAAGTCGGAGATCGAGGGCACTATTACTATTATTACCAATCAGCGAGATTCTCTCGCCGGATCTTCAACTATACCATAACTTTCTTTTCTTTTCTGTATAGACTCTGATTCTTTGATCTTGGTTCTTGCACACTCTGTTTCTGATTGATCATGCATCTTCTATAAAATAGCAATTCAACATCTTGCAGTCCCTACTCCCACTCACCACCACATAAACCCCCCCCCACCGGCATCATGTCCGAAACCCACCCCGACGCAACAGAGACAGCGCCGCAATCAACGCCGCAAAAGAAGCTCTTCACGCATCAGTTCCAATTCCCCGCAGCCACAGCCACAGCCAGCTCCTCGTCGTCGTCGGCATCGTCATCCCAATCAAAGGATACCAGCAACAAGGACGAACACGTACCCCCGGGGTACACCAAGCTCCCGAATGGAGTCATCCTCGACAAAGAAGGCAAACCGTATGTCCAGCGCAGCGCATCCAAGCATCATAAGCACCCCCCTCAACTTCCCCAAACCCCTCAAACCATACACACACCTCCTCCTCCTCCCCAAATCCAAATACCTCAAGACTAACACCCCAAAAAAAAAGATGCCGCCTCTGCACCTCCGCCGCCTCCTGGCGCGCCCTAACCCAAAAAGCCAAAGCCACTGCCACACCCACACCATCCACCACCACCACTCCCTCAAACCCCACCGCCCAAAAATACAACCAATGCCCTCCAGACGTCGAGGAACTAGGCCGCTCCACCTGGACCTTCCTGCACTCGCTGACGGCCTCGTACCCGGCGCAGGCCTCGCCGGAGCAGCAGACGGAGATGCGCACGTTCCTGGGCATCTTCTCGCGGCTGTACCCGTGCTGGGTGTGCGCGGACGATTTCCGCACCTGGATGGCCGAGCCTAGCGGGCAGAACGCGCCGCGGCTGGCCGGCCGCAAGGAGTTCGGGGACTGGATGTGCAGGGCGCACAACGAGGTGAATCGGAAGCTGGGCAAGGATGAGTTCGATTGTCGGTTCTGGGAGGAGAGGTGGCGCACGGGGTGGAAGGATGGGCGGTGTGATTGAGTACTGGATAAACCTTGGGGGGGAGGGGAGGGGGCTGGTTGTTGGGGAGGTGTTCTTTACTAGGTAGTTGCTTGTTGGATTTACGGCAGTCAGGGGAGGATGTGTATATTCTGGGATATGTGAATAGCGGTATAAGTGCTAGGGCTGTTTTTGTATACTATTTTTTTTTTCTTCGCATAGCACAGGAAGGCCTCAGTTCTCTACTCTTGTCTTCTGAAGTGGAGTTGGGAGGATTTGAATGTGATTATCATCTCGCCTCGTTCTTATCTTTCTTTTTTCCAACACCACGGTAGGGAACTATGGAACGTTCCCCAGAAACGAAATACGAGTATGAAGAAGATTTGAGTCCTGAGGTCGCTGAGAAATTATGATAACAGAAGAGGTTCCATCCATACATCGAGGGCAAGCAACCGAGTTGGTCCCACCTCCGGCCGTACCAGTAGAAAAAGAAACATGTTTTCTATCGGAGCTGCACATCAAGAGACGGGGAATTACAGTATAAAAAAAACAAGGCTCGTCATCGTCATCCTCAATACTGGCCGGGAACAAACAACCGGAGTCCGCTGGCCGGGGCCCCGATCTCCGTCACCTCCGAAATCCGACACACCGTGCCCTTGTATTGTTCGTGGTACTTGGCTCCGGTGAATGGGTCCGACACACTCGGGGACCCACCGTAGATAGGCGTGTACGAAGCAGCACAGATGTCGAACTCGGCGAACTGGTCGAACTCAATGTCGATCTTGTCTTGCGCGCTGCGCTCGCTCTGCAACTTGATCTTACGGGCCTATTAAGGGAGTCAGTATACCTGCCTGGATCTGGATAGAAGATGGGGCCATGTCTTACCTGCTCAAGAAGCTTGGGCGAGCCACCGTTAGCCAGCATGCGGTTCGCGAAGCTGAGGGCGGAAGAATAGTTCTTGTTGGCAAAGGCAAACTTCATAGCAGCCATCAGTGCCAACTGACGGTGGGCTACTTCCAGCTTGGGGATGGTGAAGTAGGCCGAGAGCTCAAGACTTCTCTTGAGACCCTCGGGCGTATCGGTAGAGAGAGAACGACGCTCCAACTCGATCGACATGGCCAGGATGTACTCCCGCGCGGTGGCGATGATCTTCTTCGCTTGCTCAACTTCGGCCTCCGAAGAGACGGTATTCAGCAGGATTGAATGCAGGATACCCTTGAAGACCTTGACACCATCTTCAAGCTTGTTGGCCCTCATCGCGGCGTAACCCTCTTGCAAGTCGACGTTGGCAATTGTCTCCAGATCTCTGGGGATAACAGGTAGAACTTTGCGGCTGTCCGTCTCTTCAACGGTGCGGCGTACGTAATTCACTAACGGGGGAAGACCGGCACTTGCGGGCAGATAGGTCTTGGAGCCCTTGTAGATTTCCAGGAAGCGGGGCTTCAAGGGGGCGAAGTTGACGGCACCAACTTGACGATTGAGAAGTTGCATGGCCGTCTCGAAGGAGCCGGCAGCGACATGATCCGCTGCAAGAGGGGAGTTGCGAGCCCAAAGGTCGGCTTCCGCGCCACCAGCACCAGCCTCTGCACCTTCGACATCGACGAACTCGGCATCCTCTTCGACATTGATCTCGTCTCCCATATCCCATCCGGCGACATCCTCCTCTTCGTCCTCGAAGGTATCACGCGCGGCAGCAACCTCACCTTCTTCCTCGGGTTCAAACTCGATGGCAGCGACCTCATCATCGACCTCACCCACCTCTCCAAGCAGAGCCTTTTCGAATGATGAATGAGCAGCAGCCTTGACGGGCCAATTAGCCTTGAAGGTGGGAACGATGGGTTGAGGCACACGCAGGGGCTCCTCAATCGTGGAAAGAGTGATCTGATCCTCCGTGAGGCCGCAGGCCTCGAGGATTGACTCGGCCTCCTCTGTCAGCCCGTGGGACTTGGCAGTAAGGTACGCGAGCGGATCTATACTAGATTAGAAACCAAACCCAACTTAGACATGGAACAGGACTTACAAAGATCGACTTCCTTGAACATCTGAATCCTGTCCTCGACGTCACCACGGTAGATTGCGTTCTGGAAACGCGACGTGAAGTCGCCTCGGTGCTCCGCAATCTTAGCCATGCGGGACAGCTTCTCCTGGTCACCAGTCGACAGGTACAAGAAAGACAGCTTGTCAAAGTTTCTCTGCTTTTGGTAGGCCATCTCAACGGTCTGATGGTTACCGTGAGCCAGAGCTTCGGCCCCAAGTCTGGTCCACAGATTGGGGCGGTCCAACTCGCGAGCCATCTCAATAGCTACATCCAGGTTGCCGCACTCAAGGGCAAGCTCGAAACGAGTCTGAGAATCCTGCACAAATTGCAGCGCGATCTCGGGGTAGCCCTTCTTCTGCAGGTAGGAAATGATGCTTTGACCGACCAGGCTCGATGTCTTAATGATCTGCAACATCTCATCGTAGTTCCTCTTCACCAGTGCAAGCTTGAATCTGTACTCAGTAGGGTCAATGTCCAAGACGCGGGGCTTAGCGCTGCGGTCCAAGCAGTAGACGCTTCTGCCCTTGACCTTAACAAGGTAGACAGTCTGGTCCAGAGTGCGAATGATGCCGTTGTCACTGATTCGTGTTAGCTATCAAACCGTATTATCTTCAGGAACTTCGAAATAGCATACCCGTTCAGGAGAGAATATTTGACATGGTTTAAGGTAGAGTAGAGAAGGACGCCAGCGTCATCCCAGGCTGCGCTCTTGATACGGATCGTCTCGTGCAAACTGCTCACCTGCTCCAAGGTCTTGGTCACAATAGTGACGTTATGTTTGCTGAGCAAAGCGGCATAGAGCCCGTCGTTGGACCAGACAACATACTTGACGCCGCTCACGGCGAGCTCCGCCAATTGTTTCTTCTGCTGAATGTCGAAGAGAACGACCGAAGTAGGAGTGATGAAGAGGAGACAGCCAGTTCCACCGAAGTAAATGTCTGTGGTTCCGACTGGAGGCTTGATCGATTTTGTAGTCGCATTGCTGAGATCCTTGATGTCTACCTGTTGGTTGCCTTGGCTAAAGACGGCGAAGCGGTTGCGCGCAACGAAGACAGCAGACGTGCCCTGACCACGCTTGACATCGGTAGGCTCCACAGCACCGGTAGCATCCCTGGGAAGGTGAATCAGTTCGTACACGCCACCATCAGTCGGGGACGTGACCAGGATGGCACGCTCGGCAGGGTTGTATGAGAGGGTACGAGGAGGCACCCAAGGGGATCCCAATTTGCGCAGTGAGAGCATGGGAGGAGACTCCACGTTCTTGCCGAAGTCATAGGACTTGACATGCTTCTCTTTGGTGATATAGAAGAGCTGGTTCTGGTAGACCGCTGAGGCAGGTCGCTCTCTTTCCAACTTGAAAACCATCACACCGGTATCATGGCCGGCAGCAAATAGGTTGATCTCGGGATGGGCAGCAATGACCCAGAAACGGTCCAGGTCGCGCTTGAACGATTGGACGGACGTTCTCTTGTTCAAATCCCAACATCTGATGGTCTTATCTTCGCCGACAGAGAGGATCAGGTCCTGGTGCGGATGGAACAAACAGGCAGAAGCGTTCTGGAAATGCCCACGGCAGGTGTCAACTTCCCAAGCTTTCGTGTCTACAGAAGTCATGTCAGCTATTACCACCATTAGACACCTATATTGTCATGTCCCACGTACCACTCATTCTCCAGAGCTTGATGAGACGGTCGTCACCGGCGGAAACGATCAAAGGCAGAGTAGGGTGGAAGGAGACCCAGTTGACTCCTCGATCGTGGCCCTCTAGGACGAACTTCACCACGGCGTCTGTGTTTCCAAACATATCTGCTTGACCGGGGTTGGCCCGGGCCATCTGATCTTCGAAGGAGATAGTCGTCGGAGCCGAGTGCTTCTTGCGCAAGCCGGAAATGTCCCAAATGCGAACCGATTGATCCAACGAGGCGGAGGCGATCAAATCCTCGGTAGGGTGGAACTGTGCGCACATAACGTAGTGGTTGTGGCCGGTCATGGTACAGACTACAGGCTAAATGTCAGCCTCCCTCCGGACAGGTGGTCAGAGTCCAACATACTTAGGGACCGGTTCTGCCAGTTCCAGATTCTAATGGTTTGATCGTCCGAGGCGGAGAGAATCCAGGGCAATTCATGATGGAAGAAGACCGTCCGCACGTAGTCCAAGTGGCCGTTCAGGGTGAACATGCACCGGCGAGTCTGGTAGTTCCAGACCTTGATCTTGTAGTCATCACCTCCGGAGACAAACATGGGCTGTGTCGGGTGGAAGTCAATGCCACGAACGGGACCATCGTGTTCTTCGAAGCGGTCAATCAGGGTTCCCATGCGGTAATCCCATAATTGAATGGTGGAGGAGTGAAGGGAGACTAGAATCCATGGCCTGTGCCGGGGGTCAGCGTTTGCGACGCGTTGTACAAACGACAGATGACGACGAACCGCTTAGGGTGGAAGGCAATTCCCTTAGCGCGAGAGGATTTGGACTCAAACTAAAGCATTGAAGGTTTTGTCAGTTCCAGGTCTCTGAGTAGACAGAGACCAGCTCCGTTGCGATAAGGGGGAGAGTGAGGGGACAATGGGGACATGGAGGGGGACGGCGGACCTTAGTGAGCATGTTTGGGGAGGACTGCATCTTGGAGGAGGGTTGGCCGGAGCCGCACCATAGAGAAGCAAGCTCCGCACACGAGAAATAAGAGGAAGATCAAAAGAATGACCACCACATCCACTACTTCGGGAGGAAGAGGAGGAGTGTAGTTGTGGAGGGGGGTTAGTTGAATAGCAATGGGGAGGAGTGTCTGGACTCTGGACTCCAGCCGTGGTCCGTCTCGATGGATGGATGGATGGCGGTAAACGTGGACTTATTGTGTCGGCAGCCAATAAGCGAGTCCCGAGGGCCAATGATGGGCCCCGGGCGGTGAGCAGCTGCCAGGGGAAATGAATCAATCGCCTTCAACCAACAACTAACTGAGCCTGAGCTAACATGCTAATGCTCATGCTCATGCGCATGCTTGTACTTCGCCTGACACTAACTAAGTATTGTTTTCTCCTCCGTTCATCGATTCTGGATCAGTAGTGAGCTTCAACAGAATGTGATATCATGGTCTTGTTGCTTTCATGCCGTTGTCGGAGCGGTGGGACCCCCATAATGCAACCGAACACAACGTCTCCCCCAGCCAGCCCCATTACGCTTCTCTCCGACTGGGTCTGTTTGGAGCTGTCTGCCCTATTCTTCCTTGAAACGGTTTTTGGTTTTTTCGCCCCGGTTCTCAGATCAACAGATGAAAACACTGCAAGTATAACGGCGATATCGTATACATAATGTCTTTTCATGCGCATGCCGATTTTCAAAACGCTTTCTAAAGCAGCATTTACACTCTATGAAGACTGCACTTTTTATACTTGACAAATTTTGGCGACACCGGCTAGAACACCATGATCAAAGCTGAGGATGGCACAGTCCCTCCTCCCTCTCCGCTTCGGGATGACCCAACATGCTTCACTCAAGATATTCCCGGTCCCGCTTCGGCCTCCTGGCAACCTGCTGCGCACGAGTCTCCGTCAGTCAACACCCATATCAAAGATGAAACGAATGTGATATTGCCATATGCGATCGAAGAACCCGAGGATGAGCCTGCCGACACCTGGGAGGAGGCAGGTGCGAGACCGAGGTCGGCGTTACTTCTCCGGGAAAGTTCAGACCCCAAGCAAGATGATTTGGCGGACTCGATGGAGGGTCTTTATTGCGATTCGGACCCTACAAGCCGCCGCTCAAGCTTCGCCGCTAAACGGGGCATGAAGCGAAAGCCGTCGAGTGCACCTACCGCCCCGACTCGTCCAGCTCGATCACACTCAACCAGCAACTCTTCCAATACTCAAGAGGGAGGATGCAACGGTCGTCCCAAAAAGCAACGTAGGCGAAGCCAGCGTTCAAGGAACCATCTGGGGTTATTCTCCGATGTGTTTTGGCACGGGGAGGCCAGTGAAACCGGGTCATCGGGCAGTTACGACTCTCGATCTTCTTCCGCGGATCCCAGTAGTTTCTACCCTTATGCGTCCACCATGCCAGATCAAATGGACATTGACTGAGTGAGCGTTACATGAGCATCTGCCAGGTGGGCTCCCCCCGAGCTTCATAGCTTATTGCTGGCTCTGGCGACTCGCAACATGTGACACGTGACGTAGTGCGCCCACGCTAGGCCGGAAAAGGCTGGATTATTCGATGACGTCACCAACTTCTCATCGCCGTCACTTATACTGCTCTCTTTGTCGGCTTACGGCGAACAGATCACCTTCTACCATTATCCTGTCGTTATCATCACCCATCGAACCAATTCCCTTCCTCAATTGGCCTACGAACTTGCTTGACAAGCCCCAGCGCGCATAGTAAATATGGCAACCCGAACATCGACTCGCCAGGCCGCCCAGAAGGCAAAGGAAGCCATTGCGGCGGCTCCTGATGTTAAAAGCCGAGGTACTGCTGGCGCAAAGCGCAAGGGCAGTGCTGACAAGGGAACGGAGTCTAAGCGTAGCAAAAAAGAGGCCGACAAAGAGCCGGACGAAGCCAAGCAGCCCACGACCGGAATTGTTGCGCAACCACCTAAAGGTAGAGTAAGTCCGCATAACCACCGCGTATGTTGTCTGACTCTATGTAGGTCGTTCTGAACAGGCCGGAAAGCCAGAAGCGAAGCCCGAAGAGCCGAGCGATAAGCCTGCAGCTAAGCCAGAGGGAAAGCTCAAAGGAGGACCAGAGAAACCTGGCGAGAAGCCAGAGGACAAGCCAGAGGACAAGCCAGAGACCGAGTCAGAAACAAAGACAGAAGAAAAAGCAGAAGAACAGTCAGAGGCGAAGCCTGAGACTGAGCAGCCAGACACGGCGAAAGAAGGCAAGGCCGACGACAAGCCCGAAGATAAAATGGAGCTGGATGATGAGAACAAACCCGAAGACATTCAAACAGAAACCAAAGAACCCAATTTGGCTCCCGTCAAGGGCAACGAAGCTGGCGTCGAAACCTTACAGGAGAGGGAGGAAAAGGTTCCGTCAAACATCCTTGAGAAGGGTATTATTTACTTTTTCTACCGGTCCCGAGTCAATGTGACTGATCCTCAGGGTGTCGATGATGTTGCGCGCACTTTTGTGGTTCTGCGACCAACTCCCTTGGGAGCTACCTTGGACGCAAAGCAGGGCCCGGTTGACACTGGTGCCAAATGTCGCTTGATGGCTCTTCCAAAGAAAAGATTCCCGACCTCTGGTCGTGATCGAGTTATGGGATTCGTCGAAAAGGCTGGCCAGTCCATGAAAGCACTGCAGGAAAGCTTCATTGCTGGAGGGCAATATGACACAGCCACCCAAGGCGAGCGTACCGTTCCCGATGCCCGTCCGTATGCAGAAGGCGTCTACGCAATTACATCTACCAAACGAACCTCTCATCTGGCTTACGTTCTCACAATTCCTGATCAGATTGGATCACTTCAGGAAGACTTTGGCCTCCGGGCACGGGGCAGCTGGGTTGTGCAGTCGAAGAACCCAAAACACCCTGGGCCATCGTACGCTCAACTTCCTAAAGATCCCGAGTATCCCGACAGGTATAACCCCCGCCCCAATTATGGCATTCCTTACCGTGGTCCACGTGCATTTGCTGACTGAGGATGACAGTGTGCTTGCTAAATTCGGCGACTACCGCTGGAGGCCGCTGGAGCCTGAATTCATCGATTATCCCAACGCACAGTTCCTTGTGGTTGGGGAAGCTGTGGATGAGCTTGGAAAGGCTGCAACTGCAGAGGATGATGGCAAGAAAGCTGATGAGGTGCAGCCTGGAGAAGAGCTCGAGCACCTAGAGCAGGAAAACGAGGAGCGGGTGGAATCTCTGCGGGGTGAGTGCTCCCTCAGGATCTTTCAGACTGCCTGATTCGAGGCATGCAGCTAACGTCAAACAGGAGACGATACAATCTATGAGGATCTTGGTCTCGATGCGAAGAACTATCCTGCCGTTCCGACAACTTGGGAGAGTCAGTAATGAGATTGGGTAGCTGCGATGACAAAAAGTTATCTTGTAGGACATGACAGGCCAACAACGACGCGGCATGATAGAAGATGAGGACGATGACGATGACGATGATGAGATGAAGTCAGTGTGAAGATCACCGCTGCAGTCAACTAAAATAATGCGAATGCAATGCAATTACTTGTTTCCTTGGCTATGGCCTACTCGGCCGTGGTCCTCCACAGGTTCAGAACGAATTGCAGGCCTGGATGCGCCCACGTTGTCTTCCTGTTGAATCCTTCCTTGATCCTTGCTAGTTACTAGTAGTAGCTTTCCGGTCCTCGGAGCCATTTCTATCCGCCATCGAAAGTGCTTTATGAATAAGAATACGCCCTGTTACTTCACCGGCTCTTTTCAAGGTCTCCAATTGACTTCATCCTCCTCATTACACCTACAATTTGAAAACTACCCCCCATGCGACGCGACTCCTCGTGGTTGTACACTCTCCCAGTTCTATACTGGACTGCTGCTGCAGCCAACAATGACGTTGTGAACCGGACCAGCTGCGGCAGTCATACTTACACCTACTCCGGCCTGGCTGGCTATGGCTACATTCCTTCCAACGCCACAGACAAGTATGGCGACACTTTAGGTGGCTTTGGCAGCTCGGCCGCCTTTGACTTGGACTCCTGGCGGTGCATTGGGCCTGAAACTTATACCGGACTGCTTTACTGCATCCCCGATCGTTGTTGTATTTCTCTCTCTCCTGGCCTCGTGTGCTGAGAATAAATGCAGGAATACGAACGGCACTCTCAACTACCAAGCCCGCGTCCATACACTCAGCGTCACCCTCCATCTAACCAGCAACAACAACTCCGCCAATCGTCCATCCAGACCCAACCTACAGCTAACTTACCTCGACTCCCTCCTGCTCACCGATCCCACCGGCAAACCACTAACCGGACTCGACGCCTCGGCCGATTTCGACGACACCCTCAACTATCCAGGATTCCCACCGCTGCCAGCCGCGATCTACACCGGCAATGGCTTCGACGACGACCCCACCAGTGGCCACGGCGGTCACCGCGTCTCCCTGGACGCCGAAGGCCTCGTCCTCACCCCGGACAGCTTCTGGATCTCCGACGAATACGGGCCCTACGTCTACCGGTTTGACCGCCAGACCGGCCGGATGAAGACAGCCATCGAGCCCCCAGCAGCCTACATCCCGCACCGCAACCAGTCCATCAGCTTCAGCGCCGACAGCCCCCCCATCTACGACCCGAACGACACCCCCATCCCCGAAGACCCTGCAACTGGCCGCGCGAACAACCAAGGCTTCGAAGCCTTGACCATCTCCCCGGACGGGAAGACCCTCTACACGATGACCCAATCCGCTCTGGACCAGGAAGGCGGCACCAGTAAGAAGTACCGTCGTCCCGCGCGTCTCCTGCAGTACGACATCTCCGCGGAGATCCCGGTCCAAGAGCACGAGTATGTGGTCATGTTACCCACGTACTACGATTACACCAAGGGCCACGACGTGGTGGCCGCGCAGTCTGAGATACACCTGCTTCCGGCCGCCGCCGCCGCGGGGGATCCAGACGACAAGGCATTCTTGGTCCTGGCGCGCGACTCCGGGTTCGGTCACGGCCAGGACGAGTCGTTGTCTGTGTATCGGCATGCGGACGTCGTGCGCATCACGAGTAACACCACCGATCTGAAACGGTGGCGGGGAGTGGACGGGGTTAATGGGACCATCGCCTCGGCCAAGGGGGTCTTGGACACCGGGATCACCCCGGCGGAGTACTGTCCCTTCTTAGACTATAATGTCGACAGCCAGCTGGCCAAGTTTGGGTTGCATAACGGTGGCCCGCAGGATCGCTTCCTGTTGAATGAAAAGTGGGAGAGCCTGGCGCTGGTACCCGTGGAGCCGGGGCAGAAGAAGGCGTCCGCCCGCGAGAGGGAGTACTTTCTGTTTAGTTTGAGTGACAATGACTTTATTACACAGAATGGTAAAGCCCCCCGGAGAGCTGGACGAGTCAATGGCTAATGAGTTGAACCAGGTCGCATGAACTTCGGTCGGTTCAAGTATGCGGATGAGTCGGGATATGACCTTGACAATCAGGCACTGGTCTTCCGGGTGAAGATACCATCGTAAGACACGGCCTCGTCCTGTATGGTTGATCATATCTTCTTCTTGTCTTGCATATCAGTGGCCTGTACGTCTAACCTCATCCCGTGAGTTTTTCTTGAAGGATGATCCTTTGGTTCTCAGGGCCGGGTGACTGTAGAAGGTCGGATTTAGAGAAAAGACCACAAGCTTCATCCTGATTTATTTTCTTCATCTTCTGCATTCAAAGGACTTACATGTGGGCCCTGTCTCGTGGTCCTTGCATTTCCCTTCAAAACAAGTTCTTCATCCAAGAAAATACACACAGTAGGAAATGTCATCGACTTCCGTCCTGCCTGCATCTACCCGACGTTACCCTCAACCTCAGTATATATCAGAGCAAACCAGAACAACTACTTCTTAAACTAAACACCTACTCCGACCTCAACACACTAAAACCCCCAATTATACCCCACATGTCACACAAAACACCCATTCTCAAACACCTCCATCCCCCTCCACTGCACAGAGCACAGAGTACAGTAGCATAGCAAACAAAGAACCCCCCTCTCCCACCCAAAATGTATACATCACTCTCAACACAGCACCAACCACTGACAGTAAACCCACCACCAAACCAACAAACACACATCCCAGAAACACATAGATGAATCGAAAGTAATTGCGTCATGTCCTCACCTCCTCCCCCCCCCGGTCCCACTTTCAATCCTACCTATGCCTGTAGACTCCAACCCCGACATCACTCTTGATCCTAACAACCCTCATCCCCGTCCCTCGAACCAAACACCACCACGACCACCACCCAAACCATCCCGCGCGTCCTTCCGGGGCGAGAGTTCCACAGCCCCAACCGCAGCCACAGCCACGGCTTACCCTCATCCAACCAGAAGGACTTCACGTGAGTTAAGTTCTGAACCTATGGCTTGGGATCTATCGGTCGATGATCTTTCGGATGAGTCGAGCTTTTATGGTGGGTATTGTCTTATACCTAGGATTTCCATTTACTTCCTACTTGAATACCATTCGGCGTTGATGGGAGGACAATACTGATATTGAAGGTAGGCGATGACGATGACGACGACGAAGAGGTCGAGCGGTTAGAGCATCTGGTTACGAGTTACGATACCGGCTACTACTGGAACAGGATCCATCCGTACTCGCTGAGCACTATTCGCCGGAAGGCGTTGAGCGCGAGGCGGAAGGCACACGAAGAAACACAAGCAAGCGAGAACGCAGCCGAGATGGACTGCGGTACTAGTATTAAGACGGAAGACGGGGACGATGGCGCTGCGCCGCCTCGGTGTTACAGCTTTCCACCACCCGACGCTCTAAAGAGCACGACTGAATTAAAGAAAGACGAGGCGGACGGCGACACGATCATGACGGATGTCTCTGCCTCCTCGGAGCGCAACCGCGTGAGACGCACAGCCTCGAGCGTAGCAGCTACGGGGCCGACGCCATCAAATACCCCGGCGGATGCGGTCGGCCCGTGGATCTATGTCGCAGCACCTCAGCAGCCCAAAAGACCGCAGCAGGCGGATATCGCGAGGCTCGTGGCGGAGGGAACGAGGGCACTGCATCGGTTCGAGAATGACAGGGCCGCGTTGCAGGTGCAGCGGGACAGGGCCCCGGCGGGTTCGAAGCAGGCGGCAACGCGGGCGTTGCACCGTCGGCGGCAGGAGCTGGAGAGCGAGCTGTTCGTGCTGGCGAGGCAGACGGGCGTCGTGTCCGGGAAGTGGATGCTTTTTATCACGGCGGATCGGGTCGATGAGTATTGGACAGTGGTGGCCGAGGCGACCGTGCGCGGAGAGCTGGGATTCGGAGCCAAGGTAGCAACGGATGATGGGCAGGGGAGGGCGCGACTGATCGCAATCTATACCCACGATCATGAGGACCGCGAGGACGTGGCTCGGGTGCTGAGGAGAATGGTAGAGTTGGCGCTTGTCGTCAAGTCCCATGAGAAGCCCATATACTATAAGTGTGATGCGTTCACCCATCTGGAGATCATGGGGAACAATCCGTGGGGATTGAAGGCGAGTCGGTTTTCGAGTCGAGACGTGTTGCGGGGTGAGTGGTGAGCGAGCTGCTGGATGTTTGGATTGTTGATTCAAGAATGTGTACATATCGGCCATTTCAGCGTACTCGCCGTGACTTGAGGCTCAAGAAGAACCTAGCAGGCTCGATATGCCGATCCCGTAGCTTTGTATGAGCACTGATTGACGAAGGGGATAGACAAGTCAGCGCCCGACTTGAGGCCTTCCTTATCATCATTGCCATACCAAGCAAGCCTGGAGGGTAACACGTTCTTCCAACCCCAACAAGCCCCATGTCATAACCAAGCACAGCGGAATTGATCCCCATGCTTGTTTGCCGCTCTGCGAGAAATTACCACCAGTGCCTCACCTCAAGACGACTCATCCCCTCGATCCATGACCTTCTCACAAGCCTCCCGAACCTCCGCAACCCCCTTAACCCCTTCCCACTTCCCCAGCAACTTCCTCACCTCCTCCCAATCCTTCTCCGCCTCCTCCGCCTTCCCCTCAGCCACCAGCTTCTCCAACCTCTCCGGCGCGCCCAGCACCCACTGCACCGTCAGCCTCTCCGCCTTCCTCCGCTCCGCCCCCACCGTCGCCGCCTTCGCCTCCTGGATCCGGCGCTGCTGCTCCTCGCCCTCCTGAATCAGACCGCCGGCCGTCTCCGCGACGAACGCAATCGCCGGCCCCAGGGTCTTGGTCATGGTCAACGGCGCCCCGCGCTCATCCATACTGCGCCGCATCTTGCCGATCGTCTCGACCGCGCGGATCAGCTTGGAGTAGTTGTCGTACACCAGCGCCTTGCGCTCGCTGTCCAGCGTGCGGATGTCGCCGACCAGCGTGTTCTCGGCCTTCAGCACCGTGGACAGCGACGAGGTGGCCAGGAGCTGGTTGACGTAGCGCTGGGGGTCAAAGTCCGGGCTGTCGAGTTCCGTCCCCGTGGCCACGACGGATGATGATGGGTGGTTGTTGTGATTGACGGAAGGGTCCTCGCTCGGGCGGGGGATGCTGCGGGATCGGCGTCCGGCGCCGCCAGTGCCGGCAGCATCGCTCGGCCGGAGGTTGTAGTAGTCGCGGAGGGCGGCGCGGTTGCGGCGCGGGTGGAGAGACGGGGAGACTGCTCGCGCGGTGGACGGGGTCGAGGAGGCGCTGAGCCCTCCTCCTCCGCCGTTGTAGCCGAGATTGGTGTTCAATGTGTCCAGAGAGGGGCGGTGGGAGGAGGTCGGGGTGGGAGAGTGGGCGCGCGATGAAGCAATGGACGGACGGGGGGAGGAGAGTGTCGACATGGTGGTGGTTGTGGTGTGAAGGGGGGGAGGTGGGCTGGATTGTTTGTTGCTGCCTATGCGAGCAGTAGAAAGACAATAGAAGAGTGTAAGACACGTATCTGAGTATACCAGAAAAGGGTGTAATTCACGTCTCGATGAATGTAACTTGGTTGTCAAGGAGGTGTAGGGAAGCTGGAGGTAGTTTAGGGGACTCGACGTTCTTCCCCACCCCGGATTCCGCTCCGCAATCGCAACCGCAACCGCAACCGCAACCAATGTTGAAACAAACCCAAACAATTTCTCCAAATTTCCCGCTCCTTTCCCCTCACAGCAACGCAACAATCACAACAACTTCAAAACCATGCTCCCAACCTCTCCCACCTAACCCCTCTTCCTCCCAACCTAAAGCCCAGCTTCGCGTTCACCTCACCTCAAACACCCAACCAAACTTCTCGTCAGAACCATGACGACCCCACAATCCCAAATCTCAGCCCACCTCCACACCACCAAAGCCCTCCCCGTCTCCCCAACCTGGCTCAACAGCTTCGTCTCCTCCACGACAGCAGCCGTGCAACGCAACGTCCCCATCTCCGCCCTGACGCAAACCGCGCTCTTCCGCATCCTGGCCTCGGACTTCCGCGACTCCCTCCATACCGATCACCCCTCCGCCCTGCTGCCGGGCGACATCTTCGATCTCTCCGTGCAGGAACGTCGGCTCCCGGGCCCCGTCCCCGTCCAGGTGTTGGATATCGAGGACATCGGCACGAGTCTGTGGAGTCAGGTCGAGGCGATCGAGCGCGTCGAGCGCGGGGAGGCGATCCGCGGACGGGAGATTGTGAGGGCTGTTAATGTTGGTGGTGGTGGCGGCGAGGAGGGTGATGATGAGGAAGGGGCCGGCAGCGGAAATACTGCTGGTGCTACTGCGTCGTCCGAGATGGAAAGTCATGGACCGCATCGGTTGATCGTACAGGACGCGGCGGGGACGAGAGCGGTGGCGATTGAATTGAAGCGCGTTCAGGGCATATCCGTGGCTAAGCTGGCGATTGGGGCGAAGATGGTCATACGGAATGCGACGGTGGCGCGCGGGATGATCTTGCTCACGCCGGACTGCATCACGCTCCTGGGAGGGAAGATTGAGACTATGGATCAGGCGTGGAAAGAGGGGAGGAAGGCTAGGTTGTTGGCGAGAATTACGGAGATGCAAGGTGAGGATCAGTCGTCAGGTTGATACCGCTGACGGAGAGGAATATTTGCATTTGTGGTATGCCCCCCCTTCTCTTTTCGTGACTCGTTTCTATCTAATAGCTCTTTAAGTAGATCTTCCTCTATCTCACATCTGGAAAGTGGTGCAAAGGTAGCGACTATTCGATCGTCGAGACTGCATGATTCAGCTCTTCCCACCCCAATTGCTGCCATGGTGCCACCATAATCGCCCTCATTGCGTCGCTCGCCTTCCCGGTCTGTGCGTATGCAGCAGCAAGATCAACGGCTTCCAGGTTGCTGCGGGGAGGGACGCTTCGCAAAGCTCTCTTGACGGCCATCTCAGCTGGGTACAGCTCCTGCGTAGCCGATGACAATTCCACCCAGCCTTGCGGTTCGGCAGGCGATCTCATCACTGCTGCAGTGGCTTCTCCAATCCGTCGAGTATCCTCAGGAACATCCGAGTTATCTCCGTATCCCAGGGTAGACACCGCAGTGAGAAGCTTGATGAGCTTGCCGCGCTCATGGATCTCTATGTCATCGCGAGTGATCATGCTGCGGAGGTCAGATTCGACGGCCTCAACCGCGTCTCTATCTTCATCCAGTAGCGCAATAGCTCCGAGGAGGGTGACGGCGCCGATGTGGTCAGGATACTCTTCAACGCAGTCGAACAGCTGCTGGCGAGCGACGGCTCTTTCCTCCTCCCCGCCCTTGGCCCACAGCACCTGCGCCAAGAGGCACACCACCTCTGGAGCATTGTCCGCCTCTCCAAGCGCATCACGGAACATATCAATGGCATTGTCCATGGACTTCAAGTAGTAGTGTGCCAGCCCAGCGGTCAAGTGCGCTGACAGGCGCAGCTTCTTGTTCGTCTCAGGATCGAACTTCTCTGCGTCCTCTTCGCCAGAGAGCATAAGTGCTGTTTCCGCCTTCTCGGCGGCTTCCTCGTACTCATGACGGGCAAGAAGAACACGGGCAATATCAGCGTTGGCCTGCGCATATCGGGAGAGGGATGCCGCTGACTCTGAGACTTCGTATTCGGCCTCCACTCCCGCACAAACAGTTCGCAAGCTCGTTTCGGCATCCGCAAACTCACCAATCCTTTCCGCTAGAAGGGAAGAGAGATGGACGAATGGCAAGTCAGAAGGCTCCTGGCTGGAAAGCTGGTGAAGGGCGAAGAAGGGCTGGATGAGTTGCGAGATTTCGTTAGAAATGGAAGAATCGGACATGAGATGGTCGAACAAGGTCATTGTGTATTGTTTCTTGGGCAACCGTGACGATGAATTGGAAATGTCGAAGGCATGCTCAAACAAGCCTCTTGCTTCCCGCGAGTCACCGAACAAAAGAGCAAGCAAGCCCTGGCCAACCCAAGCCGGTGCATAGTCTGGATCGGTAGACTGTGCCCGGGTAAAGGCCTCGTTTGCCAGCTGAATGTCATTATGAAGGAGATATAGGGTTCCTAGATTTGTCCAGACCTGGGCACTGCGATCGTTGAGATGCAGGCTTCGCACGAATGAATGCTGGGCAACCTTGGGACTCATGCTTGTAGTCGCTACACCAAGTGCATTCCAGAATTCCGAGTTGCCGGCTTCCAGTTCGATGGCTCGCTTGAAGCAACGCATGGCCGTCTTGACGAATTTGCGAGTCTGCTTCTTATTCTCGGAGGCTGAGCTGAGCTGCAGGCTTCTGTAAGCTCTGTATTCGGCCCAGCCGAGGTTATACCAGGCAACTGCCTGAGCATGGGTATCCCGGAGTGAGACCTGGATGGCACGTTTGTAGGCTAGAATGGCGGCATAGAGACATTTGTTCGCCGGGCTGGTGCTATCGTCTTCAGAGGTTAGTGAAACGAGGATTTCCGCGCCCACTTCGTCCACGTCAGTCATGATGTCCAAGGCTGTTGGCTCCAGTTGGGTTGTGAGCAGGCTCTGCAATTCATCGATCGGCAGCCTGTCTGCCTTGGATTTCACGTAAGAGAATAGACTGCATGCGTCTCCAATGCCCTTCCAGAGGTTGAATACATCGACTCTTTCCATGGCAAGTGACTGTGCTGTCGAAATCGCTCGTCGCGCAAGCTCAATGCAGTCATTGTACCGTCCCAATTCCAGACTCTTCCAAGAGCTTTCGGTAAGCGTCTGAAGCAAGGCGATCAAGACGCCAATCTCCGTTGGCCTGACTTTCAGCACATCCTCGTACCTCGCGATAGCATCGTCATAATCGGCAAGCTCCCGCTTGACATTCGCAAGCATGTATCTCGCAAACCAGATCTGTTCCTTGTCGGTGCTCGAAAGCGTCTCCTCCAAGGCTTGTGCGTGCTCGAAAGCTTTGGTCGCAGCAATATACCTTCCGGAGTGGTGGTAGCTCTCGCCCAGACCGACCCATGAATGGTAATCATCAGGCTTTATTCTCAGCGCTGCTTGAAACGACACAATGCTCTTCGGGTATTTTTGTTTGTTGATTTGGACAGTTCCCAAAGCTGCGTATGGCCAACTGTAGCCCTTGCGCTTAGAGCCCGGAGCTGGTTTGGCTTTGCCAGAATCCACCACGCGCTGGGCTACGGCTTCGACGAGGTCCCAGTCCCGCTGGTTAGCGAAGGTGCGTGCCAACCTCTCCGCAGCTTCGATCTCAGACGGGGACAATTCAAAGGCTTTGTGGAAACATCTCTTGGCTCGGGTCTTGTCTTTCTTGTAGTCTGCATAGTACAGTCCAAGGCTGGTATAGGCGGGCGCGAAGTTCATGTTGGTCTGAATCGAAGCAAGGAAACTAGCGTAGGCACCGTTACGATCCTTGCGTGCAGCTGGTGATGGATCGATCTCCCACTGACAGTAGCCTACCCTGTAGAGGATTTCAGCCTTGAAGTCCCTATTTTCCGATTGTGCCTCGCGAAGCTCTGAGAGCACCTCCTGAAGACCCTCAAGACCGGTTTCGAGGTCGCCGTTGAGCGCCCGACACCAGGACAGCTCCCCTCGAACTTTGATGTTCGATGGGTCCCGCGCCAGCGCACGCTCCAGAAAGTTCACAGCTTCTGGATAGTCCTCATCAACCTCAAGGATAAGACCGATTCCAAGCAGACAGCTCGTCGAAGTCGGCTTCCGCTTCAAGATCACTTCGAAGATGCCCTTCGCCTCAGGATGGTAGCGAGGGGACTGGTGGTAGATGAGTGAATTTGCAAGTATGATGTTAATTGCATCGGTGCTGTTTGTGAGATCGAGCCCCGCCCGCTTGACCACGTCGTGAACATTCCGGAGACCTTTACGACAGATGTCCGCGGCACTCTCGTACTCTTCAAGTGTCAAATAGAGTTCTCCTACGATCCGATGTGCGACTATCGAGGTTGACGAAGTTTCAAGACCTTCCACCATCAGGAGAAGATGATCTTGAGCAGCCAACTCATTCACCTCGCCATTGTTCTCGTCGGATTCAGGTTCCTCCGTTTTGGAGTCTCTCCTTTGCTTAGGTTCTTCTGGCTCCTTCGTCTCTTTGGGGAAAGGAGAGATATCACTGGCAAGGAAACCCTTAAGGACCTTGGACAGTCCGTCTTCGGGAAAGAACTCAATGAAGTAATCGAGGAAGTTGCGATCCCATTCGTGGAATTCTTGGATATCATGCCACTCCAGCACAATCTTCCAGGCCAGTTCGAAAGGATGTTTGATGATGACCATGTCACGAGCAGCCTGCAGCACCTCCACTCGCTTGGCATCCTTCTCATCTGCTGGCAGAACTGTCAGGAATTCATAGGCGCGCTGCAAAGACTTCTCCTCATAGGTGCGTCGAACCTGGTCGTCATGAGACCAGTCCACGATCCCGCGATAGAGCTGCTCCAACTCGCTGCGCTTGAAAGCTTCCCTCTTGACCTCCAGTGTAACCTGATCGATCTTTGCGCCAAGACGAGTGCGTCTTTCCCCGATCTCCCGATTTATATATTCTTTCTCCTCCGACTCCGTTATCTCAATCAGACGAAGGTAGGTATGGGACGGATGCGGGATCCTGCCTTGAAGATATTCGTAAAGCGGCGACGATGGGAGGTGCAGCTCAAGAGCTTTCTTGTATTGCGATCGAGAACCATTCTTCTTCGCGAAGCCGACATACTTGTCCAGGAGATCCTGACAACGATGCTTGTCATCGCTGAGATCAGTCAGCAGCCAGCCAGACAGATCATTTAAATAAGCGTAGAGCGGATTTAGACACGTACACTTCAGCAAACAGTAAGCCAAGTTTGATGACTGCCTCACGATATTGATCGAGCTTATGCGCGCCTTGTTTCTCGTACAGGTTGATGAGGCCCTGCCAGGCTGTTTTGTCGTTGTCCTTCACACGAATAGCTGAAAGGTAGGCCGCTTCGGCTTCACCGTTCTTGTTGAGCTTGTCGAGCGCGAGACCCAGAAAGACATTGCTAGTGGGCAGTTCAAATTAGACACGCGCAATTGGGGGGACTGAGGGGGTAAAAGTCTCGGAGGGTGAGGGGTTGAGGGGATGAAGTGATACGCACGCATGGTAAATTTGAGGGTCTCTCTGGACAATTTCCTTGGCTTTCTCGGCTGCAAGCTCGAAATCCTTCGAGTCCAGCGCCGTGCGCACTGCCTTGAGAGCCGCTTTGCTTGCCATCTTAAGGCAATCGCTGCATGACCTGGCCGGATTCCTAGGTAGCTTGGTGCTTGGTTGAGGGGAATGCTGGCGGATTTGGAGCAAGTTACTTCGTAATTGAGAAAAGGCCGGGCGGGCTGTGTGGGGAAACCCAAGTGGGAAAAGGTACGTCAGAGGTTCCGCCGGATCGCTCGTTATCGCTCTCGGTCTCGGAGCTTGAAGTAGTAACTCAATAGTCAATTACAGGTGTTGTCTTCGCTGTTGCCTGTTAACACATGTCAGTCAACCCATAGAAGAGGAAATTGTCGATACCAGCTTGACGCTTGTTTGTTTCCCTGGGATTTAGGTAACTTCTTTAATTCACTTGACCCCCCGGCGCCAAGTCTGTTACCGTTGTACCGTTGGCTTTGTGACTGGCGTCGCCGCCATCAACCAGCTGTTCCTGCAAGGTTAGCGCGGATACGATCGACACCTCACTTGGTCCAGTCAGTTTGCAATGACTGATGTTTGTCTCTTAGCGATTGAACTATTTGAAGTGCTGCCGCCGAGTGGGATTGGAAACCAGTCATCAGCCTAAGTCACATTGTCTTGACGTTCTCTCCAGCATTGTTCTGCCCTGCTCGCACATCCGCGAACACCCGTCCATCTACTTCCATCATTGGCTGTGGTATCGTGCGTTGAGACTGAGAGAAAATGGGCCATTATCGACTTCGAATAGACGGTCAAACATTTAAAGATGCAAACAATCGGGAAATAACCCTGAGAGGGATCAACGTCGCCGGCGAGTCGAAATTCCCCAAGAATCCGGACATTCCTTCCTATGTCTCCGATAGCTTCTTCGATGCGGACAATGTCTCCTTCGTCGGCCGACCCTTTTCTCTTGACGATGCACACACCCATTTTGCCAGACTACGCAAGTGGGGCTACAACACAATAAGATACATCTTCACATGGGAGGCGATAGAGCATGAAGGGCCCGGGAAATATGACGACGAATGGATCGCATTCACCATCGAAGTCCTTCGTATCGCGAAACAGTACAAGTTTTTTGTCTTCCTCGATCCGCATCAGGATGTGGTAGGTTTCCGTGACTCGCCGGATTACTATCATCATCCCGACTAACAATGTGAAGTGGTGCAGATTATCAGGAGGATCTGGTGCTCCCGCCTGGACTCTATATGCGGCAGGATTCAACCCTCGATCGTTCAAGAAGACCGAAGCAGCCCTGGTGCAGAACACGTACGACAAGCCGGCCGAATTTCCGAAAATGATATGGAGTACCAACTACACACGTCTGGTCTGCCAGACCATGTTTACATTATTTTGGGCAGGTCGGGACTTTGCCCCCAAGGCCATCATAGATGGCATGAACATCCAGGACTATCTGCAGGGCCACTTCATTGCGGCATGCAAGTACTTTGCTGAAAAGATTCATGAGGCTGGGGATATCGAAAGCGAAGTGGTCATTGGATGGGAGAGCATGAATGAACCTCACAGAGGTCTGATTGGATTCCAAGATATCTCTGTGATCCCACCTGAACAGCAACTCCAACTGGGCACATCGCCTACTGCTTTCCAGGCTATGCTCACCGGGTCGGGACGCGCATGTGAGGAGACGACCTGGGCTTTTGGCGGCTTTGGCCCTCATCAGACCGGCAGAGAACTGGTGGACCCAGAGGGCGAAATCGCTTGGTTGCCAGAAGATCACGACGACGAGAAATATGGTTGGAAGAGAGACTCGAATTGGAAGCTGGGAGAATGTCTATGGGCTCAGCATGGTGTATGGGATCCGTCATCGGACCAGTTACTGCGAAAGGACTATTTCGCCAAGCATCCTCGAACAGGTGAACCACTAAACTACGACGTCTTCACCAATACATATTTTATGGAACATTACCGGGCTTATAGAGATGCTCTGCGGAGCGTGTGGCCGGATGCAATCATGTTCTGTCAACCTCCTGTCATGGAGGTTCCGCCCGACCTAGAGGGAACCGCGGACGATGACCCTAACATGGTGCATGCAGCTCACTACTATGATGGTCTTACTTTGTTGACGAAGCACTGGTAAGTGAATCGGCTGTGTCTCTCCGCGCATTTCCTTTTTTGACCATGACCACTCTAGGAATCGATTATACAATGTGGATGTAATTGGGGTACTGCGTGGCAAGTACCTCACACCAGCCTTTGCCATCAAGATCGGAGAGTCGGCGATTCGCAATTGCTTGCGCGATCAGTTGAAGTTTCTAAGAGACGAGAGCTTGAAATACATGGGCACCCACCCCATGGTTTTTACAGAGATCGGCATTCCTTACGACATGGATGACAAACATGCCTACAAGACGGGTGATTATAGTAGTCAGGTCAGCGCTATGGACGCCAATCATTTTGCACTGGAGGGCAGTACGGCGAATGGTTTCACATTGTGGCTTTATACGACCACGGTAAGCGAGCAGTGAAAATACTACGTTGAGTGAAATGAATTGAGACTGACACCGTTGCAGAACAATCACGAATGGGGCGACAACTGGAACGGAGAGGACCTATCGATCTACTCGGTCGATGATTTCGAGCTTCCCAGCGGGAAGTACTCCGACTTGGAAACTGACTCTCGGGTAGAGACCGACCCTCACTCACCAGCATACTCCGAAAGTCAGGGTAGTATTCAGCACCAGTCGATAGGGCCTGACAACCTGAAGAGTGTCCTGTCAGCTCCCTCTATCACTTCGGAGTTCAGTCAGTCATACGAGGACAAACTTGGGTTCCGTGCGGCAGAGGCCTTCATCCGACCGAGTCCGATCTTCACCAGCGGCCTAGTTTCGAAATACACGTTCGACCTTAAGAACTGCACATTCACGCTGTCGCTGATTGGAAATGAAAGGTCACTAAGCGAGGAGACTGCGACTGAGATCTACCTTCCCGAGTTCCATTTTCCTGGAGGGCACACTGTTGTCTCTGTCAGTAGCGGGGAATGGACCATTGATTCGGATGAGGTCAACTCAGTCAAGGTACAACGGTTGCGTTGGTGGCATGCGGCGGGGGCACACGATATCAAGATCCAGGGGGTCAAACGTAAGCCGGGCGAGTCTGCCACATCGTCGAGTGATGAACTGTCGTATCTAGAGCAATGCCAGAGCAGCGGATGCAGCGTGATGTGAGTGCCCTTAGTTGGCGTGGGTTCTGTGTTTCTGTCTTCTTTGATATGCGAGCGCATTTTGTGGTTGTTGTTGTCACATTTGTTTTCTGAGATCTTGGATCGAGTAAGTCATGACAGTATAATTACTCGAATATGAAGTCAGCAATCATAATTTATTTAAATATTCATGCACCCGTGAGTGGCATTTGAGATAGCCCTGGCTGAGAAGATGATGGATGTACTGTGGTAAGTGGGGGGGGGTAAACAGAAGTCAAGCTGGGTGTACTGGTGCTTATCGATAAGAAACCCTCCAGGAAGCGGTGAGGAGGACTGGCGGGGGAAATGGATGAACTGGTGTGGTGATTGGAGCGGGAGCGCGTGGAAAATTCTCCTGGTAAGGCGGGCGTTGATTATCTGCCGCTGCCGCCGTATCGATTCACTCACTGTTGCGGTTGCTGTTGATCCTCTCTCTTTCCCTCTTCCCGTACTTTCCAATCTTCCCCTCAAATCTCTTCTTTAAGCTCCAAGTGTGGTGGTTAACACAGTACCCACTTCCTCACTCCGTATTTGTCTCTCTTTGAATCGAATCTTTGTTACTACTACTGTCTATTTATTCATCCCAAATCATATATCAAGAGCAGAAGAAGGGGAAAAAAGTCAAAGAAACAAAACACCAAAACACCATCTATAAGCACTCCACTTCTCTTTAGGCAGAACAACATCGGCGCCTCGCAGGGAATCTCCTTTACTGAGCCGCAACTGCCCTCCCAACCCCCTCCCCCAAAACGGCGGTTGCCGTGTGTTCAGCGATTACTCAGTGTTGCCCACTTGCGCCAAACAGCATCACTGACTTCGTGGCTGAAAGTCCCGGCGGGCAGGAGTCTATTATTACCTTCCCTTAACTAATTTTCCCCTCCAGTTGTCAAAAAGTTTGCCCAAGCCAATTCCGCTTCCACCACGGAAGTCTGGGAACCCCCCAAACGAACCAGAAGGAGGTTTTGCAGGGGTCTAAAAGATAATGAGAACATTGCAAGCATCACTTCAGCAATTGTCAAGGTAATCATAGCTTTTTTTTTCTTGTCTTTGTTTCAAGAGCAGCGAAGGAGTTGTTTTCCCACATCATCCATGGCCGCCGAAGGTGATCTATCGGAGGGCCGCATGGCCGACATCATCCGCGCCTTGGAGCTTATCCACAACCCGTCCTCCACCAACGAGCTACGCAGAGAAGCCTTGACCTTTGTCGAGGCCCAAAAAGAGAGCAAGTCGGCAGCGCACAATGGTTATATGCTTGCGCTTCCCGAGCAGACCAATCCTCTCGTCCGCTATTTCGGTCTGGGTTTGTTGGATCATGTCTTGCGCCACACCTCCTTTGAAGCTCAAGACCAGATTTCGGCTATCAGGGACCTCGTTCTGAAGTTGGCGGAGTCGATCCGACCGGAAGATCCTGCTTACATTCGCAACAAGATCCCGCAACTGTGGGCCGAGGTCGCCAAGAGGAGCTGGGGCTTGGATTGGAATTCCATGGACGAAACGCTTCTTCAATTCTGGAATGCAAGCCTCGTCCATAAGGAATTGGTACTATCCATTCTTGAAACTCTGTCGGAGGACATCTTCTATCGTGAAGATACCGTATCATCCTTGCGTGGCACGGACCTAAACCGGGCTATGGTCGAGATCTGTACGTCCCTGGCCGTCTTCGAGGAAATCCATCCTAAGAAGGATAATCTTGAGCTGCGTTGCGGACCTGAGGGATGGATGTCTCGCATTTGCGCTTTTCTGCACGACTGTACCGGGAACATCCAGAACTCGAAGCAGGCCCGGGACTCCGCACTGAAAGCGCTTGCCACTCTCAAATCCCTGCTGACATGGGCAATCCCCAAGGCCGTGCTCTCGTCCAACTGTGTCCCCTGCATAGCCAGTGCGTTCACCTGCAATGACGAGCTTGTGCTCTTGGCGGCTGTTGAAGCTCTGCATGCGCTGTACAGCAGGTCTCACGTTGAGATTGAAGGATTCCAGCCCTTGGTACACTTCATGTACGAGACTCAAGCGCTCAGTGTGCTGCAGAAGCTGTACGAATGGTCAGTTGTGGGACCAGACGATGTGGACGACACCAAGTATACTATTTGCAAAAAGCTCTCCGAGATGGTTTCGTACATCGCTGGATTTCTCGAAGAGAAGGCATTCTCATTAGAAAGCGCACAGGGCATGGACCTACCTTTCTTCTTTCATCTTACCATTACTGTCATCCAAAATCAAAGTCTCACAATCTCGATCCCTGTCCTTCATGTGTGGTCTAAATTGATAGCCTCCGAGAGGATCGGAAACACGGACCTCGTTATTGGTCTAATCCCTTCGCTGCTGAGTATTTGTACTGAGCGCCTCATTCGCTGGGAATCTCTGCCTGCAGAATCCGACAATCCTACAGTGATGTTCCTTAATGAGGACATTGACACAATCCCCGAGAGACACGCGTTTGTCGGGAACTATCGCCGATACTGTTCCTCCATCATCGAAACGATCGTCCAGAAGCGACCCCAGGATGCCATACCTCATATACTTGCCGGAATTGACGGAAACCTAGACAACCTTTACAGCGGCGTGGAACCTTTCACCGTGAAGTCATTTTCAAAGACCTCGATACCCCTTATGCGGGCCGATACGCAATTTGCGGTTGTCGAAGCAACGCTAAAAGGGTACAACAAATGGGTATCTGCTCATGGAAAGATGCCTCAGCAAGATGAACAGAAGCGCAGCGACCTGGAACAGATCTTGGAGGCGTGGGCTTTCAAATTAATGCAGCGTAATTTTGAAGATCCGGTTTTGAAACAGAGAGTAATCAAGCTCATTGTCGATATTTCCGCCAGAGCTCTCGACAAGACCCCGAGCTTTGCGCTCAAAGCATTGGAGTACATCTTGATGACCCGCCTCCCGGACCAGCCAGAGTATCCCGTCTACTCGGAATCAGTCAAGGAGCTTCACGGTCTGGCCAGTCATGAGCTCCGGCGGTTGGCCATGCGCTACGCAGACTACTTCTCTACTTTCTACGACATATTGGAACCCAAGATCAAGGAGATATCCATGGCCAACCGGGTAGACGATAAGCTTCACATGGAGCTCACTTCCATCCTGCTTATCATCATGCAACGAGCGAATAATGTCGAACCCTACCTTCGCCAGTCTCGTCTTCTGTCTTTCGTGGAGCCGATCAAGCAAGCATGGCAGGAGGAAGAATTCCGAACTGTGAGCTCGACATTCGAGGGCTTCTGTGCTATGCTTGGACTACAGAATGTCGGAGCATATATGCAGTCCAGACAGGCTCAAAAACTCGAAGACTGGTCTTCTGTTCCTCTGGACAATGAGGGTAAGCTCATTCAGGAAGAAATGACTAGGAAGTTCCAGCAACTACCTTTGAGAGGTACCAAGACGATGCTGGCCGTCTCGACGGATAAGCTCAAAAGGTCTGAACCAGCATATGAGCTTGCTTGCAATGTATGGCATGATCTTATTCCTATCATCTTGCCGACGCTTCTACAGTTAGTCAGTAATGCCCATGCCTTCCACAATCCCGGCAACTGGAAGGGCTTGCCCGCAGACATGGCGCCGGTTGTGGAACGCATCTTGACCGATAGATTTTGGCAAGCCGGGATTTCCACTGGTAGCCGTGATGAGTTCTATGCTAAGATCACTGCATCTCGTGGCTCAGTCGAAGGATTCGCCTCATCTGTGAGAGGCAAGATTCGAGCTGTGCGTGAAGCGTGCTACTCAATGTTATTCAGCATGAGCCGACTACGGGAGAATTTCTATGGATTCGCAGAACTTCCAGGTCCCCTCTCACAAGCTCTTTTCAAGGACTCCGTCCACCTTTCCTCTCATCAGTTCTCTGTTCTTCTCAATATCTCACGCTGCTTGATTGATGACTGCCCGGTTCGCTTCCGAAGCAACTTTCTGCCTCCAATGCTGGCCACCCTCTTTACCAGCATCGACAAGAAGGTCACATCAGAATGGGAGCTGATTGAACAGAGAAAAGAGGGACTTGCTGAGTCTGATGACCTGACTGACGAGATGAAGTCCGAGAGTATCTTGCGCCAGTTGACGTATTCTGCGGTGATCATGGTAGCCAGTCTGCTCGATCCTCAGCGTGGTGGTAAGTCAGAGAGCGTTGAACATTTAGAAGCATGCTAAAGAATGATTCAGATCCTGATGACGAGCTAGCAGATCCCAGCGCTCTGCAGCCTGCACCGGCACTCTCGGACTCCATCCGGCATTTTATTCTTTCTTCACCTGAGATATTTGAGCCAGTTATGCTTTTCTGCACCCATGCCCTTCGTATGCGCGATACCCGTTGCTGCAGCATCATCACCCGTGTCATTCGCTCCATCCTGCAAGACTTTGCCCCTCCGAACAATACACCTACCACAATCACCATCCGCGAGTTCATCTCTTCCGAGGTCCTCAAGGCTTGCATCACGTCTGTGCATGAGCCCTATTTTGTCGACATGCAGAAAGATCTTGCTCAGCTCATTGCGTCTATCTGGGTACTCTACGGCTCGAGCAGCCCGACCCCGCGCGCAGTGATTCTGAGCCTTCCTGGCATGAGCGAGCAGCGAGTGGCCAATGCAGAGGCCGCGCTGGTAAGGTCAACTGCCGCAAGACAGCAAAGAGCCTTGATCTTGGATCTTCTAGAGAGTCTGAGAGGCGTCAGCATAGCTGAGCAAGGCAAGATCTTGGGTTCGCGCGAGGACCGCCGGAAAGCGCGGAGTGCCCTGCAGGAGAGATACATGACGAGTGAGATGGAGGGCCAGCAGAATCAGAAAGTCGATATCAACGACGGACCGGATCTGTCCGGGGTGGCGGATTTGTTTGGTTAGGATCCCACAGTTTATAAACTTTTTTGGGGTAAGACCGCTTCACGGTTTACCCCTTTGTATAGTACGGCGGTAGTGTACGGCCACTGCCGTTACAGCTACCTCTTTGTCGGGTTGCATAGCTATTACTAAAGAATATAGACAGCTTGTTGAAGCCACCTGGGGTTCAGGGAGCGAGAAGTGCCAAGGTAATTCGGGCAAGCGCAAACAGCAGTCGCCGAGTTGAGATCACATAGTATAATTGCCGATAGCAGTGTCTTGAACATGACACGACGGCTAACTTGATGTCACTTATCTCGTATGAACGCTGCAGTAACCCAGCTTATACTCTGCCAGCTACGAAGGCTTCACCTCTCCACGTGGAGGCGGATCATCCCAATTGAGCATAAACCAAGATCCATCTCATAAATTCAGGATTCTGTCGCCCCTACACCCCAGGACGCAAGGAGTCGAAACTACCTCTTTGGAAAAACAAGAACAAACTTTAAAAAAACAAACACACTAGCAATTCTAAGTAAAGTACAGTACACTACACAACGAAAACAAACCATGAAGCAAGAAAAAATGTCTTCAAATTTTTTTGGTATTTGATTCTCAAAAAACTTCAGTTTACTCAGTAACCTGCGAAGGGGTATAGGCGAAAGTAGGGCGGACGAAGCTGGTGTATTTCGTTATTAGTTTTCCGAAGCATGAACCATAGCATATTCATAGCATATTCATAGCATGAAACATAGCATGATATTCGACCCCGGGAAAAAAAAAAGAGAGAGGTAGGGGGTTGGGGGCGCACGCGTACCGGTCAGAGTTATACACCCGATTCTCCGAGCCGAAGAGCTCCTGCTCGCGGGCCTTGTCGGCGTAGTAGCGACGGACCTGATCGCGGTCTTCCTCGGCCTGGAGGAGGGGGATGATGTGCAGGCGGCCCCAGAGTTTCTCGCGGCCGAGCTCGCTGGGATGGTTGTTAGCTTCGCTTCGCTTCTTCTTGGTGTCTAAGCTGTCTATTTCTGTTTCTGTCTCTCTGGCTGGCGAGGGGTTGGGATTGCGGTGCTGAAGGAGAGGGGGGGTGGACTGGACGTACTGCATCTCACGCATCGAGTAGTATTGCTTGTACAGACCGTAGCTGACGGCCCCGACCATTCCGGCGAGGTAGACGATGGGACGGAAGCCGCGGACGGGGACGTTGCGCTGTTTCCATTGAGGGAGGCGTTAGCTTGCTGGGCTGAGATTGGGGGGTGTAGGGGGCGGTGATTTGGAGTCCGTGGCCATTGGAGGTTGCACGCGCTGGGATATAGAGGGGGAATTTGAATCGATGGTATAGCAATCGATCGGTTGCGTCCGGGGTTGGCGCTGATATCCCAGGAAAGCTCGGAAGGGTCATTCGCACCTTGTATTGCACCTGGTGGTAGCCCCCAGCGGGGGGCATGTCCTGAGGCATGGTGATCGGTTGGGAGGGGGGTGGACGATTGGTTTGGGTTCAGGTGAGTCGTACCGTACGGCCGGGCCGAGCTTCGATTTGGAGATATGATGCCGTTGGTGGTTTGAGGTTGGGAGAGTGTGACGGTCACGTGCTGGACGGCGGATGTGGTAATGCGGGCTGGCTGGGTTCTTATTGGTGGGGTGTTCCTTTCCCCCCATGGCGGTCCGAAATTCATTGATCAATTGTTCTTGAAGCCATTGTCGATTGTTCCGTTTATGAACAGCGGAAGTTTGGATTTCTTGGATAGCTGGGCCGGTTTGGCGAGAGAATATACTATATTTACAGTGTCTATTTGGAGGACGCTTGTCTTGGGAGACTTTTGTTGCTGGGCTTTGTCTCAATTGTGAAGAGTTCTTTCTTCCCTGAAAATGGAGGAAGGTCGTCCCAGAAAGTTGGTCAAGCTCGACCACGACGACTCGCAACAACCGCCACTACCACAACAGGACACAACGATGGCGGAGTCGGCTCCTGTGCCGGAACCCTCAACTGCGCCAGTCGAAACCCGCGATAACGATGATGATACCACCACCACAACAACAGCGAACAATGGCGCCCCAAGCGACCCGACCGACGAGACGGCCCCGATGTCCAAGCGCGCCATGAAGCGCCAGCGTCGCCGGGAACAGTGGGAGGAAGGGCGCGAACAGCGCAAGGTCAAGCGGAAGGAGCGCATCCAGGCCCGCAAGGAGCGCCGGCGGGCGGAGCTCCAGGTCGCAAAGGACGAGGGCCGCGAGGCGGAGTTCCGCAAGGAGCACGAGCGCACCCCCGCGCGGTTCCGGAAGGGCACCCTGCTGCCCCTGACGCTGATCCTCGACTGCGGGTTCGACGAGCTGATGATCGAGAAGGAGCGCATCTCGCTGGGCTCGCAGCTGACCCGGTCGTACTCGGACAACAGCCGCGCGCCGTTCCGGTCGCACCTGGTGGTCTCCTCCTTCAACAAGCTGCTGAAGCAGCGGTTCGACACCGTGCTGGCCAAGACGTACGAAAACTGGAAGGGAATCCGCTTCCTGGAGGAGGACTTCGTCGAGGCCGCGGAGAAGGCCAAGGAGTGGATGGTCGTGCCGGACGGCGGCCGGTTCGAGGGCGTCTTTGCGGACAAGGCCGACACAAAACCCGAGGACGGCGAGATTGTCTACTTGAGCAGCGACAGTCCGCATACCTTGACGGAGCTGAAGCCGTTCAGTACCTACATCATCGGCGGACTGGTGGATAAGAACCGCCACAAGGGGATTTGCTACAAACAGGCCGTCGAGCGGGGGATCAAGACGGCCAAGCTGCCGATCGGCGAATACATCCAGATGGCCTCCCGTCAGGTCTTGGCTACGAACCATGTGGTGGAGATCATGCTGAAGTGGTTGGAGGTGGGCGACTGGGGCAAGGCTTTTATGGAGGTCATCCCCCAGCGCAAAGGCGGCACTTTGAAAGAGTCAGTCAGTGAGTCGGGGGAGCCGCAGGATGGAGAAGATGAGGCAGAGGAGGAAGAAGAAGAAGAAGAAGAGGGGGAGAAAGATGCCGAAGAAGAGGCTGAGGCCATTCAGGAAGCAAATGCTGTTGCACAAGAGCAGGAGCAGGAGGAACAAAACGATGCAGTAGAAGCCAAAGAGGGCAATTAAATTGGAGCTAGAACCATGGGAATGTAATGTATGTACTGTACTGTAAGTTACTTGTGACTGATGATGAAATTTCACATGATTGGCATGCACCGCCACCCGAGCCACAGGCCGATCAACGCCACAGCCGTTGCCACTCGATGACGGCAGAAAACAACAACAGCGGAAATCAAAACATTTTATTTTCTACTTCACTCACTACAAGGCTTCGCCTGCCATCCCACACTCACAAGTTGCAGTAGGCTTGAGTCAGCCTGCCGTTGACTGTTCTCTGCCACTGCTACGAAGTCCTTCACTCTCGGCAACACCAGTGATCTATACTTTTCCTACTTCTCTTGCATCTGGATTGATCAACACCCCTGCTCCCCTAGCAACAGGATCCCCCCCCCTCTCTGATATCACCCGAACAAACAACCTGTTGCTGTTGCTCCGACGCCCGGCCAGCTGCAGCCATGTTCATGCTCCGCAATGGTAAGTTCCTCTCATTTAGCTTTTGGTCTAGGCTCAGGATCAGACACTTTCACTTTCCTCATTCACTTGACCCCACCATCGACCCCTCCTTCCCTCTCCCCGGTCACCTCTTCATCTCTTGACCTCATCCCTCCACCATCACATGCTAACCATCTACCCTTCTTCTTTTCAGTGAGCAAGTACCTCTTCGGAGACACTTCCAAAGAATCCATCATCGAAATTCCTCAGGGACAACTGTACCTTGTCCGCCCCCTATCGCCCAAGGGATATTCAGAGCTCATCTTCAAGGACGCCGCTGCCTCCATCAGACGCACCGGGCAGGAATTTCAATATCAACTCGTCGTTCAACGAGCTTACGAGGAAGGGGAAGAGGAGCTTGCCGAAGACGACGACGAGCAAGGCAGTGACAGCTTGGATAAAGACGAGAAGGTCTTCCTGCTCGACCAAGCCCTTCACTTTCGTTCTGAGGTCCGCGAAGGTGGTGCCAAGATCCTGGCCTGGAGAGACCTCAGTGGCGACGTAGGTGATCTCTTCGAGTTTGTCTGCGACGCGTCCGTGCCGGCGGACAAGGTTTCCACCTTTGAGTTGGCCGCCCTTCAGTGCCAGTACGAGCGGACGTATAGAACGAGCTCGCAGAAGGCTACTCGGGAAGAGCTGCAAGAGTTCTCATTCCAAGAGGAGAAGCCCATCCCGTCAGCAAGTCCCATCTCTTCGCCCACCAAGTCTCGCGACCACTCGATCGATTCTCCCGACGCAGCAACTGCCATGGCGAGGGACGTGGAATATTCCAAATCGAAGGGCCTGATCAAGCCTGCTGCTCAAGACGAATCGACTGTTGCTCCGCCGTCGGCTGCGCAACCTGAGCCCCGGGAGATTCTCGCGCAAGAGAAGGCCGAACTGCATCTCTTCGATTTCCCCACTGGAACTTTTGTACAGCAAGATGCCAATATCACCGCGACAGTCTCCGAGGTTGGTGACTGGCAATATTGGCTGCAGATTAGTGGAGACGACAAGGAATGGCTTGGCCAGGCAGTCGTCGCTGATATCAACCCTGTCTTCAACTTTGAATATTTGTCCTTCATCTTCAACGCCTACAGCGAGGACGGTTCAGCCTACTCTTGGCTCCTGCGCTTCCACGATCAAGAGACGGAAGAGAGATTCCAAGAGGGTCTCATGCAGGCGCTGTGGGAACAGCTGAACGAAATGAAGTGGGCCAAGGTCAAGGAGAATGAGAAGGAGTATGTTTTGGACGCCTTCCAGGATCTGACCATGGAGGACGCTGAGGAGCGCGAAGCCGAGGCTGAGGCCGAGGAGGAAGAGGATTCCGAAGAAGAGGACCAGGATGACGGTCAGCGTAGCGAACACTACGATTCCGACGAGGAAGAAGACGATGTGGTGACCCGTGAAGATGATGGCAATGTCAACTCGCAATTGGCCGTCGGTTACAAGCACGATCGTTCGTTCGTGGTTCGTGGTTCTAAGATCGGCGTGTTCAAGCACACCCCCAACAACAACCTCGAGTTCTCGACCAACATCTCCAAGGTTGAGACTCCAAGTGGCAAGCTTTTCAGTCCGAAGAAGGTCATGCTACACGCCGAAGATTCGAACATGATCTTGCAGAACAGCGATGACCCCAACTCCCTCTATCGCATGGACTTGGAGTACGGCAAGATTGTGGACGAGTGGAAGGTGCATGATGACATCCCCGTGCACACCTTTGCCCCGGAGAGTGTAAGTCAACTTCCACATTAGTACCTGTGATTCAATGATCGCTAACTTTGCGCCTAGAAATTCTCCCAAATGACTTCCGCTCAATCTTTCATTGGTGCCTCGAAGAATGCTCTGTTCCGCGTCGATCCCCGTGTGGCCGGAAACAAGTTGGTGGAGTCTGAGCTGAAGCAATACGCCAGCAAGAACGACTTCTCCTCTGTGGCTACCACGGAGAAGGGATACATTGCCGTCGCGTCTAACAAGGGCGATATCCGCATGTTTGACCGACTTGGTATCAATGCTAAGACTCATATTCCTGCGCTGGGTGAGCCTATTATTGGTCTCGATGTGTCCGCCGACGGTCGCTGGGTCTTGGCCACATGCCGCACTTATCTCCTGCTCATCGACGCCCTGCAGAAGGACGGCAAGAACGAGGGCAAGCTAGGCTTTGAGCGTTCTTTCGCCAAAGACTCCAAGCCGCAGCCTCGTCGTTTGGGTCTGCAGCCCGCTCATGTTGCCCAATTCCAGCACGAGACCAAGAAACCAATTGCTTTCACGCAGGCTCGCTTCAACACGGGTGTTGACTCACAGGAAACGTCGATCGTTACCGCTACCGGTCCCTTCATCATCACTTGGAGCTTGAAGAAGGTCATCGCTGGCCGCAAGGACCCTTACACCATCAAGCGGTACGGTGAGGAAGTCATGGCCGACAACTTCCGCTTCGGTTCGGACAAGAATGTCATTGTTGCGCTACCCAACGAAGTCAACATGGTGGCGAAGAAGAGTCTGCTGAAGCCGACGCGTGAGAGTATCGCTGGTCCCTTACCCATGACTCCTCGGCGCCGTACGCAATGGGGTAGTCGTCTGGGCAGGGACGACATTGTCAACTCGCCGTATTGATGCTGACTTGGTGGTTTTCCTGTTTCGGTTTATCGCATTGCATACCCCTCTGTGTTATTTATTTTTTGAGTCTGTCCCTTCTACACGTTTGGTGTCAACATTCCTGCTTAACATCACGGATCGTAATGTTTTGATGGATTTCTCTGACGGTGGGATTGGGAATGGCAAATGATGCGACGATGATACTTCTCCTAGGTAGCTCTATGTAGTGGTAATCAAAGTACACGAATTATGAGATGACGATGGATTATCCGAGCAGTGCCACAGTACTGTAGTGGGCGCTGCCTATACTAATTCCCAATTGGCATTTCGTCTGCCTCGCGCGCACCAAACCCCCTCCCCTGATTCATGCCACCTGGCCGGGTCAATGTTCAGATTATTATAGACCATTCTGCCCGCAGATCATGATCCCCCCCTTTGTTATAATCCAGCAGCAATCAATCTACATATGACCGAGTGGAGACACACACATATACCTTATTACCCAAAACCGGGGGCCTCATTTGCGCGCCCGACCCTAAGAACCGACATACCAAACCTCCACCCCGAGGATATCGAACTTGACGCCTTCATCCGAGAGCGGCTCATTGCCAAAAGTCTGGGACGCGGCACTGACGCCTTTCTCCAAGCTCGAGTCCACCCAGAGCCCGTAATGCCCATCCCTAGACCACCAGTTTGTTAGCACGTCCAATATCACGATCCCCCCTTGATGAATAAAAGAGGGAGGGAGATAAAACTCACCCCCCACCAAGACTCAGAAACCCCGTCTCACAGAACATCATATAATCATTGACACCGCTGTAGGGGAACGCCTTGAAGCGGATCTGCTCCGGCGTCGCCGTCCCACTACTCCTACTACTGTGCCCAGTGTTCTGGGGGCTACTACCCGTCACCGACAAGTTTCCGCTGGTACGAGGCAAGGGACTCCGGCTCCGCAGGGTGGTCGACCGCCCGGCGTGCGTGGTGTCCGCGCTGGGCGGTAACGGGAGCCCGGCGCGTTCGAGCGCGGCCAATGCGGCATCTTCTTCGTGGTGGTCGATCGCGGACATCGACTGTAGGAGTTGGGCGGTCGAGGGCGGCTGTAGCACCGAGGCGCGCCAGAGGAAACATTCGCCTGTGCCGAAGTAGTGCGAGTCCGGGTGCGGGGGGTCGGTCATGTAGGCGCCGAAGACGGCGCCGGTGCTGCCATTATTTTTGGTGGAGGTTGTTGTTGTTGTTGAGGAGGTGGTGGTTGAGGAGGAGATGGTGGAGGGGGAGGGAGAGGCGTCGCGGATGATCAGGACGTAGCCCGCCCGCGGGCTGCGTTGGGAGATGGCGCGGCAGTTCTCGTACAGGGTCGACAGCGAGGCGCCGTCGCGTTCCAGGCTATAGGCTAGGCGCCAGGTGTCGCACAGTTGGAGGCGGGCGGGCACCAGCAGCCGGATCTCCTCGGCCAGCGAGCGCGTGAGCAGGTAGTCTTCTTGGTTGTTGTCGGGGTGGTGGCTGGAGGGGTCGGTTAGGGTTAGAGGGGTCAGTGGAGGGGGTTGGAAGGGGGAGGCGGTTCGGACGGGCGTGAAGAGCGTGTTGGTTGTGGATGATCTGTCGGTGGGCGTGGTGTTGGAGTGCCAAGGGCGGCGCATCGTGCTGCTGTCCTTGTTGCTGTTGTTGTTGTTGTTGCTACTTTTGGTGGATTGAGGGTCGGTGAAGCGGCGGTACAGGCCTGAGACGACGTGGGTGACCGGGTAGGAGAAGTAGGAAGCTGCTGATTGATGGAGGGAGGAGGATCGCTGCTGCTGGTGGTGGTTGTGGTGGTGGTGGTGGTGTTGCTGGGTTGGAGTTTGTTGTTGCGATTGTTCGTGGGACTGGTCGAGGTGTCGAGGGGAGGAGGAAGTACTCGAGGACAGCGAGTATGACGACATGCGTGCGGAGATGCTCAGGACTTCTTGCAATTGAAGTGGTGGAATTGAACGAGTGTCATAGATCGATTTGGTAAGAGTCAGATACTGACAAAGACTATGGAGGGGAGGAGGGGAGAGAAAGAGGAAGACGAAGCAAGTGGAGAGGAGAAGAGGAGAAGAGGAGAGAGAGGGTGGATGATGATGAGGTGTGAACAAGATAAGGAGTTTAATCAATCAATCAATCATCAGCCCACACCAATTTAGTTCACAGGATCCTCGTGTATGCTTCTAGATCAGACCTTTAGACTCAATTCCACCATTATTCTATACTTCTATAGCCAATCCTATGCAACCAATCATTCTATACAGCTACTCTATTCTTTACCATTTGCCATGTTCCACTTGCTGCTTGCTACACACTAATTGATTGTCTCCGTATCTTTTTGTACTGCAAAATATCTTCAATCGCAACCTCCCCCACTCCAGCTCTGCACATCCATTGAGCGCCACCCCAACACTGCAACATGACAGACTCTCCGTCTCCTCCCTTGCAGCAACCTGCCTCCAACACCACTGTCTTCCTCGATCAACCTCCCAGCTGCCTGCAATTCTGCCCCGCAATCCCCGACTGCTGCATCATCGGCACCTACTTGCTGTCCGAACAGAAAGACGAAGCAAATGACTCCGACATCAAACAGACCAAGACTGGCTCTCTGCAGCTCTGGCGCATAAACCCATCCACCAACGAGCTGTAAGCTTCTCTATATCCTGCCAGCATCACCCCAAGAACGAGGCAACTAACCCCAACCAGCACTTTGCTCTCCAAACTTCCTCTTCCCTACGCAGTCTTCGACCTCCACTTCCACCCACGCGATCCCTCCCTCCTCTCCATCGCAACAAGCGCAGGCACCGTCGCCTTCTTCCGCCTCACGCCTGGCCAAAATGCTGATCAACCACCCACCCTAACCCATCTGCTTACACATTCTGTCCACGAAGACCCCTCCATCCCCGCCCTCTTCCTCGCCTGGACGCCCTCGACCTGGCCATCCCCAATTCCCAGCACCAATACTGACACCACCCCCCTCGACGCCTTCGCCGTCACCTTCTCCGACAGCCTCACCACCATCTTCCAATATACCCCCGGCCCGACCGCAGACTCACCACCCCAGATCGCAGAACTCGATTCCTTCCCGGCCTCGCAGGCCATCGAGGTCTGGTTCGCCGCGCTCGCGACCTTTCCCGACCAGCAGCAGCAACAAATCCCCTACATCCTCACCGGAAACGACTTCGGCGCCCTCCACACCCGCCGCTACGACACCAACCCCACAACCCCATCAGAGACGGACGACAGTCAGCCCCAACCCCTCGCCGCGCTGCTCGACCACCACGACCGCGCCCGCCACCACACCGCGGGCATCACCTCCATCCTCCCCTTGCCCATTCCACTCCGAGACGACAGTCCCGTCATTCTCACGGGGAGCTACGACGAGTCCCTGCGAGTGTACCACGCCACTCGACGCGGGGAGGTTCTCGCGGAGATAGGGCTGGGCGGGGGCGTGTGGCGGCTGCAGCTTCTGTCATCGTCGTCGTCTTCATCACAGTCTGTGGATGGAGACGAGGTAGACGAGGGATGGACCGGGCTGGTGTTGGCGAGCTGCATGCACGGCGGGACGCGGGTGGTGCGGGTGCGGTGCCCCTCTGCGGAGTCCGGGTGGGAGTTGGAGATTCTGGCGGAGTTCACGGAGCATGAGAGTATGAACTATGCGTCGGATGTGTGGAAGACGGCGGGCGGGTATGAGCTACCTGTGCGCAGCAGCGATACGCCGGAAACGCAGGAGATCCTCTGTTTGTCGAGTAGTTTCTATGATCGGCGGGTCTGTTTGTGGCGGGTCCGGGTGTAGATAGATGTAAATAGATAAATCATAATATAGTGAATGCTTAGGTGTATACTGCAAGATATACTCATCTACCCTCCGCAGGAGAGAGAGAGAAGAAAAATGGCATAGTAATCCTCATTAACATGATGCAGACACCCCCCACCCCCCGAATCTTTGTCTAAGTTACACCACCTCACTCCACAGGAGAAAACGGCCCTTAAACAATCGTCTCCAACTCCCGCGCATACCCGATCGCATTCTCAATGATCGTCCCACTCGCGACCAGGATATCCTTCTCCGAGCGGGCGGCCGCCTCGGGCTCGACGGGGAAATAGATCCGGCCGTCGCGCAGCACCCACCCCCGCTGCTGGGCGAACTCAATCACCGCGCCTTCCGAGTCCATGAAGAGCAGGTTCTTGGCGTTGGAGATCGGCAACGACGGGTACGCCTTCTCGGAGCAATCGGCGATTTCGCTACGGATCGTACCCACGAGGACCTATATACCTCACACGAATCACGTTAGCAAGCGCACACACACACTGCACCAATCTCCACCTCCCATCCCCCTAAGAAAAGAATGCCGGCAAAAAAAAAAAAAGGGAGGAGACATACACTCGAAAACAGCCCGAAATCCTCGCCGGGCACCCGCTCGGAATTCGTCTCCCGCCACACCTTATCGTAGCTCCCTTCCATGAGATTCCGCTCCAGCTCCACGGGGTACTTGATGAAGGGGTCATCCTCGACGCTCCGGCCCTGCAGGCTGGCCTCCTCGACCAAGCCCTCCAGCACCGTGTGGAAGCTCGTGCTGTCGCCCATGCTCAGCAGGAGCAGCAGGTACAGGCCTGTGATCTTGCTGCGTTGGCTGTTGCTGTTGGTGTTTCTTTCCCGGGAATCGCGCTCCAGATCGTAGAACGGCTGCAGTTGTTGGTAGTAGCGCGTGAAGCCGGGGGCGTCGGTCTGACGGATCGCGGCGAGGGCGCCGAGCTCGAGGATCTCGCGCGCCAGCGGGAGCAGCTCCCGCGGTGTGGTCGGGGTGGGGATCAGGGCGTTCTGCTGGAGGAGCGTGCGCTTCGCTTGTGTGAGGATGCTGCTGGCTTTTTCGAGGTTGTGCGCGCTCAGGCTGCTGTGGAGCTGGGTGATGAGGGTGCGGAGGTCGGTGGCCATCTTTGGGGTTGGGGGTTTTGGGCCGGTTCGTTGGGGGGTTGAAGGGGGAGGAGAAGGTTAGGGGTGCGGGATGGGGTGCTGGGCGTGAGGACTGGATGGTCGGTGGTTGAGCTGTGGAGGGTGATGATGAGGACGGGTAAATTGAGAGGTTAGGATTGAGATGTTGTACGTAGGATGAGGGTTGGGCTGATGGACGTTGACGTTGATGCTTGGAACTGCCGGGAAGAGCTGTCCCCGGGCGGTGAGAGACGGGTCACGTGTAGTTCGTGCTTAGAGCATCTTACCCGATTGGGAAATATCTACTGGACCTGGCAGGGCAGGTAGACAGCCCTCTTGGTTACTATAATTCAACGGTAAGAGGGATTTTGTTAGACATTGAAGAGAGTAGTAACTGGCTAAAGTGGCTAAGCTTCCAATGCAAGCTCCAACAGAGTCTCGTAGTATGGTGTGCCCAGCCCCGTCACCGGGTCCCAGCCTGGAGTCGCATTCCATCCGGCATACGGTACTTGCGCTCCCGTGGGTTCGTCACATCCGACCGATCCTCCATCGACAATATCCGTGAATCCTCTCTGTTTGAGCGAGTATAGCCATGGGTTCAAGAAGCCCAGTGTGGACTTGCCCTGCTCCAGACGCGCTGCATTCAGTCGAGAGATTATGGCGGCAAAGACAGGCGCCGCAGCACTACAGTTCCAGTCAATCCCGAGTTCGTGACTGCTAGTGACTAAGGAGAAGAAGATCTCACCTGGTGCCCCCAGTCTTCATCCACTCACCATGATCCCGAAGCACAAAGTTATTGGCCTGGGTGGAGACATCAGGGATGCCGCGTCCCTGTGGATTGTAAAGTCCTTCATACAGGTTCCCCAGGCTGTGCAAATAGCCCGTGACATCCGCATCCTGATAGGAAGGTCGAGCGAAGATATCCGAGAAGCCGCCTCCGGAGAAGGATATGGCAGACTCTGGGTTCGTCCCTTCCGTACCGCCCACCGATGTGACAAACGGACACGACGCCGGAAAGACGGGCTGGAACCGAGTCCGCCGTGTACCATCATGGGTCATACATGTATCGCCGGGCCCCCAGTCACCACTGCTGAAGATGACAGATACTCCCCTGGCCCCCAGCTGCGCGAAGAGGTTGCAGACAGCTTCTGCGTATGCTGCGGGTACAAACGGCTCTTCTTCCCCATAGGAGGTGCTAAGAACCGCAGGGAGATCTCTATCTGGTAGGTCAAGCAGGTAGTGCAGTTGCTCGAGATAGGGCTCATTTGTTGAGTCAGCTATGGTCAGCAACCCGGACTCTTGCACCATCGGCCCACGCCCGGCAGTAGTATAGTACACAGCAGACGCGTGGTAGGACAGTGATAGAGCGTATTGGATGTCAAGGGCCGCCTCACTGGACGGACTGAGCGAGTACTGGAGATTACGCCCACCATTGATGGAGACCACGGAGAAATTAGCATCGGCTTGATTTGGGGCATATTCTGCAAGGAATTGCTCCAGATCGTCGTACCGTGCATATTCCTCCAAGAAGCCGGAGACACCCAGCCGATTGCGTGGGTCGGGTGTTATCTCGGTATCATTGATCCCGTAGAGCTGGCGCAGACAAGCAGGAGTAACTGTCCTCGAGCAATTGCCAGCGAGGTCTTCTGCAGTGAGCGCAACAGGTACAAAGGTTTCGGGACTGTCAAGAGCTTGAGGGGATCCGAACCGTGTTGTAGGCTGGATGAGCTGAACAAACGGACGGATATTCTCTGGGACAGAGTATGCAAGCGTCCGAACCGTTGTCGTTTGTGTCCTTGGGTGGTAGAAGTGGCTGAATTGAGTCTTCATCATCGACTCGGCCTGCGATAATGGTATAGTGAACGCAAGCCAGTCGCCCCGATCTTCGATTGACTCGGCCGGCACATGTTCCCATTCTAGCCATGCACGGACTTTGGCAGCAACCTCGTCGGAAGGGCGCATCGACGCCCGAAGCTCCTCTCTGGTCAGATGGCGGCCATAGTCAGGATGGCCAGGAGTCGACCGGGCTATCACTTGCTCTTCGAACTGAGAGACATTGGACCTGCGCATCGCCAACCAGAATCTCGTTGGCGTTGATGTAGTAGGGCCAGACTGTCGCATCCATCCATCCGGGATACCCTGCAGCTGGTCTACTACGAGGTACCTGTCTGCAGGAATAGGGAGTGTAACGGTCCCACAGACCAGCACGGGCAAAATACCCAAGATGATCGGCATAAAACGCGGCCACATGCTTGCGATCTAGCATAGAAAACGCACGACATAATCGAAGGACTGCACCCACGTGGCTCATTCAAACCCCGGACTACACATGGCTTTTGTGTCATCGAGTGAATGACCGATATCTTCTGTCCTTCCGTATTTTCCACGTGACGATTACAACTAAGCTTCCTTCTGCATGGCGTCCGACGAGAGCTATTCCCTGTCAATCGCGGAATAAGCTCAAGCCTCAACCAGAGTCTGGGCCGGTCATTCCTTCAGCATGGTCAAGTGTGTAGAGTCTCTGATTGGTACCACCACGAGCTTAGTCTGTGAAACTTTCGACAATAGACACGTTGTCGGTCCGCTAGCCAATCCATTGTTTGGCCCGACATGAGTCCGAATGTGTCCTCGGCAAAAGTTGTGCGATTTCTTGGGTCGCTGCGGCCATTGTGTCTCTGGCTGTGATGGTGACGTCTGGGATTGGGCTCCCAGGCTGATGATGAAGCTTCTGGAAACTGTAGTAGGAGGTAGAGACGGATCAAACGGGAGCGTGAGGCCAATCGTCTGCGCGTTGGCCGTCTATTGAACACCGGCTAGGGAAGCTTGAAGCTTTATTGAGGACCAGATGGGGCGGACCCATTGATTGAGACCCGCTCCAAGCGATCCGCTAGTCCTGCTCGGGACCCTGTGGTTGCCTTAGGCCACAAAATTAGACGTTGGCTGAGGTTGGCCTGAGGTTGCTGTAGAGTTAAAATCTACAAGGATCTTTGTCCCAGCCCCAGTGGTACTGTATCAAAATGCTGACCAGACATGTGAAGCTTTTTGATTCCAGGGAAGCTGAGTCACTTGGATCACGGTCACATAGGAGTAATTAGCTGTGGGCTTTGTGTTCTATCAAAACAACCGATCTTCAGTACAAGGAAGCCATTGTATTTGTATTCAAGCATTTATTGAGGACACTCACTCATTGATTTGCCAAGCACACCAGTCCCAGCGACTTGCTGCACTGGTGTGAGCATCCCCTTCATGGTGATCCTCTGAGATTCTCTCCATAATTTTCAAGTGAAAGGCATAACTGAAACTCTGTCACGGCTTGGTTCGCAAAGGGAGAGTATGCTTTGTACTCGAAGATCGGCACTGCAGCTCAACACGTGTCGGAGAGCCAGAAACTCTTGATAGGCGCGGTCAGTGATCCACCAGACGTCTGCTTGGCAGAGAAGCTCTAACCACAACATTAGGAGCAGCAGCGCCCGTTCATCTCGCTCAAGCAGAAGATTCCGGTATGCTGCAGATATCTTAGGCCCGAATGACAGCAATGAGTTAGTGCCGTGGGAATTTGATTCATCTTGCTGCAGCATGGGAGCGATGATGCTCAATGGAATATAATACGGGTTATTGTCCGGAAGGCTACTGGTAGTGACATCACATAGTTCTTCCAGCGCACATCGCAGAGTCTGAGACAAAGGCAGATCCTGCGGAGTAGCGGGCGGGGCTTCCAACGCAAGCCGCTCCTGTCTTTCATTTTTCAAACGCCAGAAGCCTTGCTGCGGGTTCTGTTGCATCATTCTTGCTAAGTAGCCTAGTCCACATTGTACGGACAGCCAGCTGAGGTTGTTGACCCTAGCCGCTGCAGTGGGCTGGAATACCCAAGATCTGGATGGCGATCTCTCATGCGAAGCAAAGGAGATCATGTTTAGGAGAAGCGCGGTGGCATAGACAGCGTCTAGCTTACCTAACGCTGTCGGATGCTGCGCGAGCTCTTCCCTAAGCAAGCGTGTTGCTGTCTGTGTATGAAGCCAGCACGCCTTCTGGTGCTCGGTCCTTGCAGGCTGCAGATGCTGCAGATGTCGAGCCGAAAGTGCTAGGAGAGCATTATGAAGCATCGGGATGGATGCGCAGTTGGGCAGCAGAAACTGATTGAATATCTCCCTTCCAACTTCAGACGTCAATGTTGCATCAAGGCAGCCGTCAACATGCCGTAGAAGATACATTGATCTGGGTGTTGGCGATATTTCACCAGGAAGCCAGGATCCGTTGGGATCCAAGCAGTTGTTGACATGACTATAATTGCCTGTCACACAGCCTGGCCAGACAGGCTCGTGATCTTCCGAGCTAGCCTGACTGTAGGCAGCACGAGGGTCACCATACACACACAGCGTCCGGCGCTGGCAGCATCTGCGGCAGCTGGGGCGAATCTCATCGCATTTGACTCTACTGCTCTTGCACGCTTGGCAGCCTCCACGGGACTTGGTATGAGACTTTCGAGACAAGCCTCGCTGTTGGGACTGTCTCTTGGGTGCGGAACTAATCCGAAATTTTCTCAGCCCGGGCGTGATATCCATTGGGCTTTTGAGGGCGGTTTAAGCGAGAACTGCAGACATTGAAATGCGTAGGTACGTAGTTGATGGTCGTACTCAGTATCCCGTAGTCACTCGGTAGCCTACGTCTCGGCGCTGCAACAGGCGCTTCGAACCTAATCCCAAAAAGGCAATTTTCGTATCGCAGAGTGGAGCGGCCATGACATGATAACTATGCGGACCAAGTCTTCGCTATAAATTTGAGCTTTTATCCCTCGCAGATATTTGTCTTTCACGAGAGCTTTACTGAGCATATTGAATGATAAAATGGTTCGTGTTGCTATCGCTGGAGGCCATGGTGGTGTTGGCCGCACAATTGTGGAGGTGTTGAATGATTCTTCTGAGCACGAGGCTCTTATCCTATCCCGCAAGGTTGTAATCATAACATATCTTGTTTCTCTAGGTGCATCTTTACTGACAAGGCTGAGTAGTCTGATGGCGAGGGTGGCAAGACCATTCAAGTCGATTATGGAAGCGTTGACGGTTTGGTTGCTGTGCTAGACACACATCAAATCGACACAGTGATCTGTTGTTTCGCCGTGGAGGGAGATTCTCTGGCGGTATCGCAACTGAACCTCATCCAAGCTGCCATCAACTCCAAAGTCACTCGGCGATTTGTGCCCAGTGGCTTCGCCATTCCATATCCTCAGGAGTATGTTCCGCTAGGATGGACGCATACTTTTTCGTGCCACTTAAGCTGATGAATCTTAGTGCCGTGAAGCTTTTGCCGCAACTTGCGGACTATTTCAAAGCGATTGAAATTCTCCGACAGTCTGATCTTCAGTGGACCGTCTTCCACAATGGTATCTTTCTTGACTACTTCGGTCCATCGACGCTCAAATCATACCTGAAACCGAATGTCTTCGTTGTGGATTTGAGAAACAAGATAGCAGGAATCCCCGGAGATGGCGAAGTTCCAATCACATTCACCTACACCTTTGACCTGGCCCGGTATGTTGTCGCCATGCTCGACATGGAAGACTGGCCCGAAGAAAGCCGTGTGATCGGCGATACTGTCACCTGGCATGAATTCGTCAGGCTGGCGGAGGAGATCTGTGGTGAGTCTGGTTTTCGCTTTCTCCGAGAGTCTTTTCTAATTCGAACCGCCAGGCTGTCGATTCGAAACTCATTATGACAGCATAGAAAAACTCCGGGGGTTCGAGATAACCGAGTTGCCTGGACATCAAGCCCTGTATCAGCATTTCCCGAAGAAAGCCTTCCAGTGGTTCATGTCAATCTTCGAACTGTATACCGCAGATGGCACATCCTGCATTACGACCCAGGACTCCTTGAATAAGATCTTCCCCAACATCAAGCCGCTTACTGTGCGAGACATGCTGGTCAAATATTGGAGTGATGAATGAAGAAACCAATAGGTCCATGTAGGTAAGCCACCCCGATGGTCGGGTGCAAGCAAACGTGGCTCTTTAACATGATTAGAAGCCGGATTTGTGTCGAAAATGAATTTGAAGATCCCGGAGGATTTCAGGTTGTTCACCTGTCGAGGGACAATGTTGCGCATCATTTGGAACATTTTGTGTCCCTAGATGTAAATATCGAGAGTCTAACTGCCGATTTGGTAGGCTGACATGCCTGGATCGTGCCATGAGAAATTGATAGCTGCTTAGGCTCTTCTGCCCAAGGATTTATGCTGTGCGTCTGCCAATTAGCACGCTGAATGATTAGGTGGCTGCCAGGTGGTGTTTGCACGGAAGCCACCGGGAAATGGGCCTCTCCAGTGGGTCTTGCGAGCGGAAAGTGATCCGTCCGCCGCAGTGCTGGGGTCTAGAACGGGGCCGTCAACCCTATTCCGTTCCAGTTCCTTATTGTTCAGTAGAGCCGTGATTTGTAGCTCTATCTTCTTCCTACTTTATACTCCATAGTGTGTGGAACAACGTGTTGGATGCGCATCGGACCGTCTAGCTGCAGGTTGCATTCCATACCCTGTCATCTGTCACCGGATAAACAGACCCCAAGGACAAGGACTTCTGGCGATTCCAGAGCGGGTCGGTAAGCAGGATGACATTGGATAGTGCAGGGGCCACTAATTGTAGACCGGCCGAACGGACCGTGGGGTCCAAAAAAGAAATCCACGGCGTGATGTGCCTGAATGAGGACGGATGGCCGAGGATAGACATGTCAGACAGTCAGAAACAACAGTGAAATGGCGGGGTAGACCGATGTTCTTCTTTCCTAGGCGAGTCAGCATGTCTCTCTTTGTTGACGCACGGCATTACTCCGTACTGTACTCCGTACCTAGCAGGCATGTCTTTCGACCCCAAAGTCTACTTCCTTAACCGAGAACAACCCCTGAAAATCCGATAATGCGAGGGATCCTGGTGGTTGGGTCAGCAAGTCAGAAGGAAAAATAAATGGAAAAGTAAAAGAAGAGTGCGTGATTCACTTCAAGTCTTCTGAGGGTGTACTCCGTAGATGGTGGGTTGGCGAACTTGGCACGGAATGGGGAACAAACCAGTCAGGCACGGACTCCCTTGTCCTTATCTGCTCGGCCTGACAGGGACGAGCCCCTCTTGACACCCACACATCCACAAACTACAGAGTACTCACGTATCGTTGATCGCTCTTCTCCCATTTATGAGGGTATCTTCTTCCAATCGCAATTGTCGGATCCACGAATCTTACTGCTGGCTTCATCATTATTCATCTTCCATTACTTACTTAGCCACACCCCCCCTATCAATTTGAGAAACAAATCTGCCAAACACCTACTCCGTATTCCGTATGGTAACTTGTTGGAGATCGGTAAGTGTCCAAGGTTTCCTTGAATCTAATAAACTGATTTATCATCCTTAGCTCATCGAATTAACAATTAGTACCACTCGAGCATCGCATCAATCTTTTCACCAAGTCTCCCTGCAAAATGATTGAGAATTGGTTTTCCCACTAGTCCTCGTCTGCATGCATTCACCCACTCATCACCTCCACGAGGATCCCGAGAGTAATGATCGTCTCCGTCCTCAAAATGGTACTCCATACCAGCCCATCTGATCCCTGATCCTCTCTTTTAGCTTCATGCGGAGTTCGTTACAATGATTACAATGATTACGATCTCCTGTCGGAAAGGACTACTGCCACTTCTGTATTAGTTCGACCGACCGTCTAACGACAACACCAGCCTGTGAGGCTGGGGCGCTTGCAGCCCGTGCCATTAGCGGGCCTAAAGGCAACGGACAAACCACATGTAAGACAGACACGCAGCCTCGCATATCCCTAAGCTGGAACCCCCGACTAGACCATCTTTCAACTTGACTACCGCGAATTGGAGCTGCACCACCTACTCCGTACATAAGGCACTTTTTGGCTCTAGCACTGCTTGCGATTCGTCCTAATCGGTCCCGGTCACCTGGCAGAGAGCGGGCAACGGCTGCTGCACTCTGTCGCTCAGTCTGTCGGTTTCTTGTGCTTCTTACTTTCCAATTTCACTCACACTCGTCTGCTTCTCTGCTATTTTTTTCTGCCCTCCAGGGCGCCCCCCCCAACTAGCTTGCCCCTCGATGCTTTGATCTCCGTCTCTGGACCTCATTCCCAACTCCTGCTTCGTCTCCGTCTTCTACCCTAGCCGTCTGCGAACCCGTTTCCCTCGAATCCAACTTGACTTGCTCGCTCTTATGTCCGAGGCTTGTCACCCCTGTTTCCTCCATGTCACATCCACTGGTGGCAGCCGTGTGGGAACAGCTAGGGCGCCGTGATCTAGCAAATATCCTTCGCGAAATTATTGGCGAGCATGTGCTAGACATCGCGGTATCTCAGCCGGACGGCCAGTCCGCCTCCATAGAACCACTAACCCGAACTGTTTTCTGGATCAAGACCATCTTCGATGCGCAACGAACCTACCTTCAGGGCCTGGCGAGCGTCCACGAATGCCACCCCTACTTCCTTCCTTACCTACTGCCTTCAGAGACCGTCTTCTCGACATTGATGTACCTGCTGAAGGTGAAGCTCGAGCTTTTCCCTTGCAACCGATCTACCGATCCAGAACTCGTCGGCTACCGACATCTCATCGCACATACTCTACTCGCCGGTACTCGAGTCCTGCTGCTGCGCGGAGAACCCATTCACACGGATAAGAAGTTTCGATTCGAAAAAGCAATGCGAGCTGCTTGGCGGAATTCGGACCTTTCAAATGTTGAGCGGTTTCTTATTAGTGATCTTCTCCCCAAAGCAGTTGACTCTATCGGCTCGACTGAGCTGTCAGCGACTCAGACTCTTACAATCGATCGTGGAAAACCCTACCTGCCGTCGTTCGCCGCAGGACTGGTAAGTGCGCCTATTCGACTGCTATCCCGACTCCAAAATAAAGGCTCACGGCGTCTACAGTATCCAGTTTCGGGAGCGCCGGAGACCCTCATCACAGACCTCCTGACAGGATTAATGAAAAACAATGCCGACCAACTGGTTTCATTCAATTTACTCCTCGACGTCCTCTGGGCAGTAGATTCTGCCCTTGTTCAGTGTCACATAGATCGCCGTCGGATTTCCCAAGAGCAAGGATATACGAGTTCCACAGCGCTGAAAGTAGACGAGGCCTTCAAGCAAGCACAAGAAGTTAAGAAGAAGTTGACTCGAACGGTACTGGCGGCCTACGATGATGAATTCAATACGGCGCCGCTTCAGGTATTCGCCACCATTATTCTAACACAGACGGCCGATGATACTCCTCCGCTACAGACACGAAGGATTCGAGATACTTGGTCGCAGCTCGCCGGTATTCGGGAATCATGGGAGCGGGCCCTGGGCCAGTTTGTTCGTTGGCTCATCAACCGGCGGGTGCAGATGTGGGATTGCAATGGTGAACTCGAAGCATTTTCGCATGATTATCAGCAGCATTTGACTCAGTGGTTGCAAAATTCATCGCCTGCCGACTTTGACCCCACTGCACCGATCAGAAAAGGCCGTCCTAGCACGGCGGTTTACGTCGTCAACTGTCCTGCGGTGCATCCTGTGCCGGGAGCCATGTTGGAAGAACAATTGAGAAGCCATGATCGGAAGGCTTATGAGGTATGCCATGCTCGCAACAATTGAGGTAGGGTTAGACATAGAAGCTGATTCTTTGTTAGCAATTCCAAGGAAGCCCCGACTTTCTAACCATGGATGTCACATGCCCTCTATGTCCTGGCAAAGCACGCATCCAACATGCTCGTATGATAGAGCCTCTCGAACAGGTTTCTGACGCCCTACACCTCTTCTCGGACTCGGATGGCGAGGGGCAGCCGTCCCTTCCCGACTCTGCTTCTCGAGCGACCACTTCATGTTCGAGCTCGCTCAGCCATTCTACAAGCCACTCATCCCGCCTTGACTCGGTGGAGATAGTGAAAAGTCCGACCTCACCAACACCTCCTGTGACAGCCGTTTCGAAAGCAAATGGCAAGACTCCTAGTGTCACGACGTCAGAAATCTTCAACCCCGTCCTATCGCGCAGTCGGACCGACCAGTCATTCGATAAGCAAGCAATCAAGACTCTTTCCCGTGATCTCAAAAATGTTAAGATACCCTTCTCGAGCGGGACGTCACTTTTCCGGAGGAATTCTTCGAAAGGACAGCAATTACCTCGTCAGCCCCGGTTTTGTTTCTCGGCCACTGGGAGCTGTCTGCTCTTCTGGGGTGCCGGAAGTAACTGGGTCATGCGATTTGAACTAGGTCAGGGCGAGGGCAAGAAGCCAAAGAGTCACAAGTATGACATTCCGGGCGTGCAACAAGCTGCAGCAGGAGATCAACGATGTGCCGTCATCGCTTCAGTAGGACAGGTAAGTAGCTTGCATCGCGAATCTTGGGCTAGTGCTGACAGGAACTCAGCATTACGAGCTCCTTGTATTTGAAAACGACAGTGATATCCCAGAAGCATATTTGACAATTGAGACTGATCACCAATCACTACCAATAGGTTGTATGGTCATGTCTCGTAACGATAGATATGTTGCCTTCACGCTCAAAGACCAAGTTCGCGTTTATGAGATTTGCACCAGGACGATTCAGAGAGTCTCCCTCGGCAGTGGAATGGACCGCGTATCGGACTTGGGCAACCGATCCTTGATGGGCTCGTTCTCTGGTGCTAAAGAGTCTGGCTTCGAGGCCCAGCGACAAGAGGCTGTGATCGAAAGGAAGCTCCAATTCTCTGCCGATGGCAAACACTTTGTGATCGCTACCCATCTGGGTGATCACTACGCTTATGTCGATGTGTGGAATTGCACGTTCCAGCAATGGAATATAGTCCCTGATAGCTCCAAGTCCTTCAAGCTTCCTGCTGTGTGTCTGCCCGTTTAACCCTACATCTGACACTTCATGGCTTACTGATATCCATTAGTGGACGACGAATGATGGGGATCTGACTGGCGTGTACTACGATACCTCTCATCATGCGGTATTATTGACCGCATTCTTCGGCAAGGAATATCCCTTGTCATTTTCCATGACGGACAACAAAATCACCAACGATCCGTTCAGTACACGAATCGTACATGCAGCACAGTCACCATCCGGCACTCGCTTTATAATCGCGAATGGCATGTGCGATATCTATCTATGCGATGCGAAGGCCTCTGGCGGCCTCAATCGCTCGCGGTTGAAAAAGGCGTCGTACAAGATAAATCCAGCGGTATTTCGGCCCGGACAACTCGCACTAGCGTTTCCTCAGGAGTACGAAATGTTGGCATTTTGGGTGAAGACGGGCAAGTTGATGCTGAGGACCGTGCGAATGCAGGGGGGCATTGAAAGTGTCAGTGATTATGACCTGCGATCCGACTATGATCGGCTGGTAGTCGAAAGACCGCTTGTTGCCGACATCCAAACACAGCGCAGACGGCATTCACTATTATCCCATGAGTTGGTGGCAGAGATCGATGGCCTACCCTCAATTCCTCGACCAGACCTACCTGAGCTGTCATCAACATAAGAGAAGATTGGCAGAGGGTGAGGTCTAAGTCCAGGGAGTCTGTACGTTCTATGATGTCGGCGTTGGGTGTCTGGTCTCTAGCGCTGCAGACAGCGTATGTACTTATGTGTGATGAAAAATAATATACAACAACTAATACACAGCATCCAATTGCCGGCACCTTGCTACTCGTAGATGAGTGGTGGTGGCCTGACTTTGCCCCAGGCACCATGGCCCCAAAGGGGGATAGTGCGGGGAAAGCGGAGAAGTTAATCGCCGGGACCCGATTGTAAGCGACGTCACCACCTGGGCTTCTCCTCATCTCCTCATCAGACAACGAGCAAGACAATTTGGAAGGAAAGCTAAATGCTCCAGCTGCACCAAGACATCGGGACAGTTACTCAAAGCTTCCGTGTGGTGCATATGCTCTCATTCGGATCTAGGTGGGTTGTTACTACTTTATTCCATCTACCCTGAGTAGCCTGAGCTTTCCCCTCAGATTGCCACTAGCGCCGGCTGATCGACCCCGGCCATGAAAAAACGCCCCGGTCGAGGTGGACTGACTTAGTTGCCTGCCATTGCATCGGCCTCCTGGAACTGACGGTTTTCTCTCCTGATCTTAGACTCTTATCCTCTGTTGTTAGCCTGGGCGAAATATCCTCGTCCCCAGCGAAGTTGCTTTGAAAAAGCGACCCTTTAAACCCCCATATCCCAAACCGGCTTGGGAAACAGAAGATTGGTCGACGTCATCAATACATTTCTTCTGTCTCCAATTCCTCCTACAGGGATCCCCCCCTCTGTCAATCTGCAACTCTCAGTCTCCCTTCTCCGTTCTTCCTCTGTTCCTTTTTCCCTTTCTTCTATCTTCCCTTGCCATCGATTATATCTCTGTATCCATCATGTCTATGCCTGATTTCGACACTTCTCGACGGCCCTCACAGGCCGAGAACCAGACGATCCTTAAGTCCGAGATACCATTGAAGGAGCGATTTTTCCGCTATTTTCAGCATGAGATCACCGGTATGGCTTAGTCAACTTAATTGATTGTCCTGCGAACTGGCCTTTTGGCAAGGAGAAAGAGTCTGACACGTGTGCTTGCTGCAGCCCTTCAGGAACAGATGGATCGGTTGGCAGATACTTCCCTGATAGGGGGAGAGCGGACGGATGCAACCGATCACTGTCTGGCCGGTATTGCGCGCTTGTCCAATGAAGTCAAAGATGCGGCTAGCTACATTCCCACCTACGATCAGCGGATATACGCAGAAGTAAGCTGTTACTTTATGTCGAGGGTGAAAGTGCAAGGCTGATCAACGGTGGTATACAGGCTATCAAAGCACTGCAGGACAAACTCGTCGAGACCCGGGCTGCCGTGGAACCGCGCCCCAAGTTCAGTTTCAAGACTAAGAAGAATGCCTCGGCCATCTCTCTCTCTGATGCGGCACAAATGGCTGCGCAGGTACGCAGTATCCCCGGATTCGCCTCGCCCGGCTCGTCCTCCGTGGGCTCCTCCGCCGCTCAAACCCCGATGTATCCGTCGACTCCGCTCAATGAGCCCGACAACCGGCTGCACCTTCTGCAACGGCCGGAGATTGCCCCCACATCGATTCCAGCTATCCCGGTCGACGAGGGAGCGGATGATAAACTCAAGCCGCCGGAGCAGCCCCATGGCTTCGCAGCCACCGCTATTACCTCCGTGTCCGTGAATAACCATCACAACCTCCACATCATGCTGCCATCCTCGGGGTCTACAGCCAACGTACCCGCATCTATCACCTCGCTGCGCCACTGCGTGGTCGACATGTCAATACCGACTGTCAACGGCAAGCCCTACGCTAGTCTCACCGCGAAGAATGTGAAGGAGAGCCTACTGGTCTGCGGACAGATTAATGGCCCCGCTCACATCACCGACGTGGAGCATAGTATCGTCGTGGTGGATTGTCGCCAGTTCCGTATGCACAACTGCTCCAATGTGGACGTCTACCTGAGTGCGTCCAGCAATCCTATCATTGAAGACTGCACCAACATCCGATTCGGTCGCATACCCCGCATCTATGTGAGTATTTCCAAATCATCCCATCTTGCTGTAAGCACTAATCTAACCACCCACGACACATAGACATTGAACCACGATCGGCCCGACGACGAAGACCGCTGGAGCGAGGTCGAGGACTTCAAATGGATCAAGCCCGAGCCAAGTCCGAATTGGAGCCTGCTCGATCCCGAGGATGCGGTTCCCGAAGAGGTTTGGGCGGAGATTGTGCCCGGAGGCCCCGGCTGGTCTTTGGAGGATATTCTACGTGCCATAAACATCTCAAAGGTCTAAGTCATTGTATTGTGGCGTAGGCGTGGATCGTCAAAGAAATGGGAGCGTGAGGCGTCGGGGAAATTTACGGAAAGTTTTTCTTTCGTTTGTATCTCACATTTGGCTTTATTGCATGAACTCTTTTCCATGGAAAGGTTGATATATACGAGGGAAGAAACTTGGCGCTCTGGACAAGGACTGCGCTTCTAGCCGAGAATAACGACGGTGGGTTGTGCCTCATTTGTCATTTGGTGTGGTGATCCGCATGGTTGCATGCTCGCCTTCCTGCTTTTGCTGCTGGCTTTCTAAGTGCTGATATCTGATATCTCTGCATGAGATTTCCATTTACGCCGAATTTAATTTCACCTACATTCTACTTACTTGCCTTGTGGTTGATGCCACCTGTGGTGATCTCACCCGGTTCCAAATAGACTTGTTTACATCTGAGGCGTTGGGGGTTTGCCCCAAGCGACGACTGGGTTGTGTGCCGCCAACTGAAGCTTTCATCTGCAGCCCACCGCATGATAATGTGCCGCTCAGGTCTAAGTTGTAATGCAAATACAGCTGGGTGGTATGCATGACACATCTCCAGCCAAGGACGTCGCTTGCGGATCCAGGCCCCATAGGTATAGGAAACCACGGAATCGACTTCGCACGCAGACCAAAGCCATGAACGCCGGGACCGAAGCCGCCAAGTGGAGGCCCAGACGCAGCCGTAGCCGAACGGGATCCCGGCCAGGATGGGCACGATCCAGTGGGTGGTGGAGGGGGGCGTCGGTGTCCCCGCAAGCCCGAACAGCGCAATCGGGGGGCAGAGAGGCTGGCCGCAAAGCACGGGTCGCGTCGATGACTTGAGGATGCGGCGGTAGCGGAGGGGGGCCCAGTAGAGTACCTAAAGAACTCCTCACAAGTCTGGTTGTCCATATTCCGGGATACACTCATTCGGACGTCCTGGATCAGCTGTTATATCACGGTCAAATGAGAACGGTGGACTTCTTACTTTGATTCTGAGATGCAGGGAGATCGATGATAGTTCGTTGGTATACTCAGGTTTCGGACTATCCGCAGCGGGACTCCAATGATTCGAGGATACTACATCGTATTGTTTATCTCTTCATTTACACCTTGCGTTTGCACTGAGAATCATCATTATACTGTTTTTCAAGATATTAGCTTATCTTGCGCTCCAGCCGCATGGTGGCCGATCTTGAGTTCAGGGGAAGACACGATATGCTCTGATGAAACAACTGGTGGAAATAGAAGTGGAGCTCTTAATCACAGTCTGTGCTCTAGGGCTAGATCAACGCAATCAGCACCATCCTCCTCTTCCTCCTCCTCCTCCTCCTCCTCATCATCATCATCATCAACAAGAGGAAAAAAACTATTGGATCGCATCAACAACCGTATCTTTTGACCTGTTTCTCCTCCCAAATCTCCATCTCTCGAGGAATGAATTGAACTGTCTGACCCATGCTACCCCGTAGAAGAGCACGAGGTCTCGCTCTGGCGCGATTGGGGGCCTTCCTAGAATGCGCGAGAGCTCCAGGATAAGCGGCACGGTGCCAGCCACCGAGCCGGGGGTATCTTGCATTTGATCAGTGTTGAGAAATCTCGAATCTGGACTGTGACTAGGCCGGCCCTGTCACGACCTGTGACCTGGTGCACAGTATCTCTCGATCCGAATTTCCTTCGCGGATCGTGAAACCCCGAGCAACAACATCATTTGCGCTTGACCCCGCGGAGACTAAATGCCCGATCGCGCGGTGGCTTACCTCCTGCTCATGCGTGACGACTTTGATAATGTGAGGGGTTCGATGTCGGCAACTGGGGTAAGCGTCACGGCTGCTCCCAAGCCGGGTTCTGTTGTGATCAATGTTTTGGAAGCGTGAAGCGTTGACTTGATTGAGGGAGAGGTATTAGCTGAGGTCTTCCTGTTGTTGGAGACACGCTTGGACTGCTATGACTTTCCGGCTCAGATCTTTCAGATCGCGGAATGGCTTGGGAGGCGAGACGCCAGGGATGGCCATGTCTCAAGACTAGGATTCGAAGAAGATCGAGAACAGAATGAAGATCAGAAAACAGGTTGTCCTCTTTTGAAGTAAATAGTCAAGCTTCTTATATAGACTAAGTCTCGTTGAGGAAGTTCCCAGTAGTAATTTAGAAAACGATAGAAAAGATGTACTGGGGAAAAATCAAGTCAGTTAATATGATACTGAAAACTAAAAGGATAAAAGAGATGTAGTAGTAAAAGAATTAAGTTGGTTAGACTTAGGAGCGAGATTCTAAGTTATGTCTTCAGCCAGCTGTATTTACAAAAGTAGTTAATAAAGATATCAACATAGGCTTAGAATTGGCATTAACTAAAAGAGAATTATATTTTTTTCTAAAGGAACAACAGCCCTTAAAGCAATATAAATAGGGTAGATAGTTTTAGTATTTAGGAATTCACCTAACATAAGGTTGAGGTAGTCAAAGTCCGAATACAAGTCCAGGCCGTAAACAAAAATCAAATCTGAAAAGGTTCTACAAGCGAGAGAATAATAGAAAGCACTATGTTGCATTAAGGCAAGTATCTCTGATGAGGGCATTGTGGCGGACGGCTGCATTGTCGGTGAATGGAGTCGCAGGAGGAATTCATCAGCCAGGTGCAAGCTTAGTGAATGTATCATGTGGTGAACGTATCGGACCTATAACCTCTCTAAGCTTTCGAGGCTGAGTGGTGATTACGATTAGTTGATTACGACCTCCCAGATGATCTTGATGTCCTTGGTTCCTGTCCTCTTACTTTTGACACTCACCAGATGCAGGGTAAGCGAATATCTTAAGCGACAAAAAGGCATCATTCGTAGTGCAAAAGCAAGTGTCTAGATAACCAGATAACTAATACTAGGCCCAGCTCAGGCCTCTGGCCCCGTCTTAGCTTGTCTATGAATGGATTGAGCCCCTGCCAGGTGTCTAATCGATCAAATCCTATGTACTCTGCCTAGTACGTACAGTACAACCGTAGCCCGCTTAGGGCTTGGTAGATGGTGCTTAGTGCTTAGTCTCCCCCAGCAATGCTTTACACCCTCACACCCTTGTGTTACTGTGTGGCATTGCATGCTCCGTATTTTGGTCTTCCCGGTTGACCGCAACACTTGACTTCTTTGTTTCCACTTTCATTAACCTTTTCCTTCTGGATCTCTCCCCCCTGTTCTTATTGAATCTGCTGCCATGTGTGATAGCATGGTCTCCCGCATAAATAAACCCCTCGCCGCAAGGTACCAACCCCATTGACTCCATCCACCATCCACGAGTCCAAGTTCACCCCCACCCCCCCCTAAGCCCACCCTCGAGGTCACAATGCCCCCAAGCCCGCCCAAAACCATCCTGATCACCGGCTGCTCCGCGCAGGGGATCGGCGCCGCCCTAGCCCAACAGCCCGCCCAAGAGGGCCACGTGCTCTTCGCGACGGCGCGCACGCCCAGCAAGATCCCCGCGGAGCTGCGCGAGCAAGCCAACGTGCACGTGCTAGCCCTAGACGTGACGGAGGCGGCCTCCATCGCCGCGGCCGTGCACTCCGTCACCGAGCACACCAGCACAAGCGGCAACCACCGAGGACTGGACGTGCTCATCAACAACGCGGGGACGGGGTACACGATGCCGCTGGCGGAGGCGGACCTGGAACGCGCGCGGGCGGTCTACGAGGCCAACGTCTGGGGCCCCCTGCAGCTGATCCAGGCGTTCCAGCCGCTCCTGGTCGCCGCGCGCGGCCGCATCGTCAACCTGAGCAGCGTCGGCGCCGTCGTCCCCACCCCCTGGATCGGCGTGTATGCCTCCTCCAAGGCCGCCCTCGTCCAGCTGTCCGAGACCCTGCGCCTGGAACTCCAGCCCTTCGGCGTCGGCGTCGTCTGCGTCATGGCCGGCACCGTCGCCACCGCCTTCCACGCCAACGAGCCCGAGGTCCGCCTGCCGCCCGCGTCACGGTACGCGCCCATCCGCCGCATTATCGCCGACTGGGCGACGGGCCGCGCCGGGCCTCGGAATGCGTCCTCCCCCGATGATTTCGCTAAGGCTCTGGTCGAGGATGTCGTGCTCGCGGAGACGCTGCCTGCCGGGTTGGTCTGGAAGGGGCCTAATAGTGCCGCGGTGCGGTTGCTGGCCCGCTGGTGTCCGGTTGGGTTGTTGGTATGTTTCTTTTTTTTCTGTTCGGTTCCTCCTTTGTTGTTTGGGTTTTCAATGTGGTTTGGTATGATGGGGGGGGGGGGGATTGGGGTCTGGCTCGATTTCTTTGGTGGTTCGTGCTGACACAGGCTTCGCTACTTGCAGGACCGCATCATGAAGAACGGTCAGGGACTAGATGAGCTGACCGAAAGCCTGGAGGGCAAGAAGTGAAGTGAAGAGAGAAGTTTCCGATTGTCTACAATGAGGTCTGTTCTATATGACGGGCTAGTAATAGTGGTGGGTTGTGGAGAAAGGAAAGAAGAGGAGAAATTGATGGAATGTAATGTACTGTACAAATTTTCAAATTACTGCAAGACTGGATGAAGGATTCCAGAGGAATATTTGGGCGTGAATGGTGTCAGGGGCATGGCACTACATAGTATAGGAGGTATACCTAGTAGACTGGGCCCGGCGACTGCGGGAAGGCCCGCAGGGCGGTGGTGCAGCGGTAACCCCCCCGGAGGTCGCGGGCCCGCCGCCCCGCAGCGCCCCGCGTCCAGCGTCCAGGCTAGCCGCGCATCCCGTCCTGATGGCCAGGACCAGCTCCACCGCTAACCTACTAGCTGACAGCCTGCCCGCGACGAGAAGTAGGAGCTGGCGCAGGCCAATCGTTCCGATGCGATGCCGGCTCAGCGGTATCATAGTATGAATAAGACAGAAGAGAGGACAACATGTTCCCTTCTGCACCATGAGTAGTATACATCCCCTCCTGATGGTCTTCTGTCTGCCGAAGACGGCGCCCTCACCCGGAGGAAAGCCGGGGCCGCAAGCACAGTACAGTCAAGGATTGGATGTGAGATGGACTCCGAGGCTTGACATGTATACTATTAGGTATACTTAGGCTGGAAGGGGTGTCACTCCTTTCTAACGAGTTTTCTTCATGTGGATACAGTGATCATCGGTCTAAAACACTGTCACTAGGCTTACGCCTACATGATGTCAAGCAGATACAAATCTCACAAGATTCATAGGCAGGGCATTATGTTTGGGAGAAGTTTCAGGACACCCGACAGAGTCCTTCGGTCCTTCTATCGTAGCAGAGGATGCTCTACGAGGGGCGCACCGCACCCATTCCCCCTAAACCTACAACCCCCCAAGCACCACACAACCTCAACCTCAACGCCAATGATCCGGCGACGGCGGCGGCCGCGGCTCCCCAAATCCACAAACCATCGGAAACACTATATCCTGCAGGGTATAAACCGGCCGATAGTCAGGCAACGCCGCACCCGCCACCAGATCCCCCTGCGCCCCTTCATCATCATCATCATCATCATCATCATCATCATCATCATCCCGCCGCTCTCTCCGCTGCCGCCGCAACACAATCCCCAAGCTAGTGGCAGGAAACTGCTCGCCACCACTGCACAAAAAGAAGCAATGCTCCCACCGCACCGCCACCTCCTCAAACCCGGACGTGCGCCGCAGCTCGCGCCGCAACTCCTGGAGCGCGGCGCGCTCACCGTCATCGATCTGATCGCACCACTGCAGCCGCGCGTCCACGCGCAGCGTGCCGACCTGCCGCAGCGCGCGCACCTGGTCCATCCACCCGGTCTGATAGAAACGGAGCCAGTCAGGGCCCACCGCGCGCAGGGCCGCGGCGTGGCGGGCGCGGTCCGCGCTCAGCCGGATCTGCAGCGTGCCGAGGCGGGGCAGGTGCTGCTGCATCCAGGCGAACAGGGTCAGCCAGGGGGTGAGGAGGTCGCGGTGCACGCGGGCGGCGGCTTGCGCGCGCGCGTCGGGCGTCTGGTGCCGCAGCGTCCCCGTCGCCGTCCCGCAGTCCAGGTACACGTCCAGCCACAGCTGGAGGTGGCGGATGCCCCCGGAGACCGAGCCGGGCATAGAGGCGAGGAGGGCGAGGCAGCGCGCCGGCGACGCGTCCAGCCAGATTGTGTTGTGCGCGAACACCATCGGCAGCGTTTCCTGGCGCACGCGCCGGCAGACCCGCAGCAGGCCGAGGGTCAGGCGCGGTCGAGGGCGGCGCGGCCCCCCGCCCGCCGGGCAGTAGGGCGTCGCGTCCCACCAGCGTTGTTGGCGGCGGCTGTAGCGGATCCATAGGGCTCCTCCGTTGTCGCCGTCCTCGTTGTTGTTGTTGTTGTTGTTGTTGTCGACGATTAGCAGGTCGCGGTAGATCTGGTCGCGGAGCTCCCGCGGAAGGCGGAGGAATGGGAAAGGCGCGGTGTTAGATATGGTAGTTGAAGGCGGGCGGCGGATTGGAATACTGAAAGATCGGAAGAGGCGCCGTAGAGTTCTCAGTTTCCTTGTATAGACCTTCCATTTGGGCGGTGCTTTGGCGGCTGGGGCTATTTCCTCGGGGATCGTCATGGTTGGCGGTGGTTGAAGATGGAAAGTGGGGGGAGCCTCATGGCCCAGGCTCTGAGCCTTGATTAGCGATAATACCACTAGAGTTGTCGCTAATCTCCTTTGAGAACGATCATCGTCCACGGTAACTGAGGGGCCTACTAAATATGGCTTTAATTCGAAAGACATCGGGTTCGAGATAGGGTCACTCTATGTTCTTCCTGTTAGCACACTTCTGGACCTCTGGAGACGCCTATGCCTCGACCTGGAATAAATTGCGCTTGTACTACAGTGTCTTTAGAGGTTAACTTGTCTTGCGTATGCGGAGTATCACCATAGCTCATACCAAGTCATCAACGGATATGGATCCAAGTGTGCAATTTCAAATCTCAACTATTTCCGTAACTAGTATGAGAGAAAGGAATAAACGGAGACGTGACAAATCTCGGATGTATGATACAACCACTCTGGAAAGAAAAGAACGAAGATAACAGGCTAGAAAGGCTAGATAGAAATGTCCCGGACTTGCGTAGGCAAGGAGGTGGATAGGTAAGTAGGTAAGAGAGAAGACAGAAATGCTCATTCTTTTTTTAAAACGTCAAACCAGAACCCCCAGGGCGGAGATCTAAAATTGAGGCATGCCGCCTTGATTGAAGGTCGGGAACATGCTCTCATCGGTGCCAGCCCCAGTGCCGAAAGTGTCCATGAACACATTGTTCATGTAAGGATCGTCGCACAAGGCTTCAATTGCACTCATATCGACTGGTCCCGGCTGGTACATGGGGTCTGTGTAGCCGAAGGAAGCATCTTCAAAGAAGCCGGACGTTCCGTTGTTGAACGTGGCAAAGTCGTTGGCAAAGTCATTGTCCATGTACAAGAGGCAGTCCTCGTTCTTCAACTGAGTGAAGGGGTCTTGAAGCTGGAACATCTGGCTTTGCGCATAATTGTTCAAAAACCCGGTCGGTGACTGGATTGGGCCAGATGCGGGAGTGCTAGCTTGAGTGTGGCTCGCTTGCGCCGGACTAAGTTGCCCGGAGCTGATTGGAGCAGGGCTCAATTGCACAGAGTGCATCTGGTTAGATGGGCTATACTGCTCCGGAGTGTAGTGCTCAGGGCTGTAGTTCTCCGGGCTGTAGTGCTCCGGGGTCATTTGCAGGGAATCCAGGTGGTCCGGGATCATTGGAAGTGAGCTCATGTGGTCAGGGCTCATCTGCAGAGGGGTCATCTGAGACGGTGCCAGATTGACGGAGCTAGCTTGGCCGGGACTCAGTTGCTGCGGGCTCGACTGGGCGACACTCTCCTGACCAGGGCTGGCTTGTACAGGTGAGGGACGGCGCTTGGCGTTGCGTCCGTTGTTTTTCGCGCGCACATAGTTCCATCCATGGGCTTTCTCCATGTGCTGCTTGCAGTTACTCTCGCGCTTGGACTTGTACGAGCAACCATTGAAAGTGCAGGCATACATGCGAGGAGTGGCCGAGTGGCGATCATTGATATGGCGCTCGTTTTCCTTCTCGGTGGGCCAGCCAAGCTCGTAATACTTGCATCCTTCGAACGGGCATTTGAACGGTCGTGAATGAGTCTTCTCATGTTTGCTAGATATCAAGTCAGCAATCACAATCTGCATGCAAATAGTATCGACACTCACGTTAAATCACAAGGTCTTTGGAATATCTTATCGCAGTGGGAACATTTTGTGTTGATGTTCATGGGAGGGGCGTTCTTCTTGCGCCGAGCCATGGACCGCCTGGCGCCCTCATCAGTGGCTCCCAGACTCAGGGCTCGCTTCACCACAGGAACGGCATGCGCGTCGAAGGGTTTTCCACTCTCCAGTGAAATCATCTCGCCATCCTTTTCGACAACAAGCTCAAGTGGACGCCCTGTGTCGGCCATACCACCCTCCACAACAAGCCTCGGCCTATAATGGGTTAGTCAAATGCTACTTTGTTCAATTTGGAAGGCACACTCACATCTCCTTCTTATTCTTACGAGCCTCATCCCTCATGGCCTTGAAACGGTGGACTTGAGCGGTCAGATCGAGGAAGTAAGAGTTGCTGTAGGGGCGATCGGTCGGCATGCACAAGTCACGAGGGTCGACAGTGGTGTAGGTCTCGTGCAGGCACAAGATGGTGGAGTTGCAGAATTGATAGTAGAAGCTGAGTTCGGCCTCGACATCCTGTAAAAAGACATAAGCATAAGCGTCGATCCTGGGACCAAGGTACAGGAGACTTACTGCAGCTACGTAGAGCAGCGCCTTCTCAAGATCACGCAGAGTCCTAAACTTATCGCTTTCCATCTGTTGACGAGCACCCTCCACGACGTGACGGAAGGGCTTGCATGGCTCCATTCCCAGAAGAGGTGTCAATATGCGATTCTCAATTTCCAAGCATGACGCGGGGCTGAGCTTCTGCTTGGGTGTAGCCTCATTTTCAGCAGGATGCATGGAGCTTAGGACGGCAGACAGAGCCTGGGATTTAGAGGCCGATTTGCCAGCTTTCTCTGTATGACTGGTCAGATATGTCTTAACGCCAGATACCATGGACGATAGCAACCAACCTTGTTTAGAAGACGTGGACTGACAGCTGCTGATCGAGGTTCCTAGCCCACTATCGGAAGCGTGGCAATGTGTCCGTCGGTTCTTCTTCGCAAAACGTTTGTCGAGATCCTCCTTGCTCAACTTCAACCGCTGGAAATGGGCCTCCAGGCTATCCTCGGAATCAGAAGATTTATCATCCTCGTTGAACCGGCCACGAGCACGGAAAGAACCGTTTTCGATGCGACCTAAGATCTTAGACATGCGTTCCTGACCGGCTGCGATAGCTTCGAGGGCTCCGGGAGAAGTCGGGGAGCGAGGCAAAAGTGGGAGATTGAGGAGTAGGCCGTCCGAGGGCGAAGTGGTAGTGTAGTGGAAGGTGTCTCCCTTCTTCATACGAAGACGGGATCGAGGAGCTGACGGCGTCTCTGAAGAGGCGAGTAAAGACGGTGGAGGTGCGTTGATAACCCGCCCACGACGGGGATGTCGGGACGCCATGGTGTCGGAGGTCGACATGATCGTTGACGAGTGAAGGGTTGAAGAAAATTATGAGGGTTGTTGTGAGGTATGAATACTTCTTAGGAGTTAAACCACGTCACTCATGCCCCATCACTATCCAGACTCACTGTTTATGCCTGGATAGAATTGCGAGTCGGAACTGCGATGCGACCGCAGTGACGTATGGAGCCAAAGCGGAGATCAATAAGTTATTACTGGAGAGATGTTAGTTGCTGAAGCCATTCCACCGGGTTATAAAAGAACAAAAAATAAAACCGTCACGCACCAGCGGTGGTCGAGAAATGTCAGGTTTACGGAGGTCTCCCAAAGGGGAGGGAGAGGGGGGTCGGTGGATGATGGAATGCCCCAGGCTGATAATGCGATCAAGCAAGCACCACCCCTTTCACAAAACGGGACCAACAAGACAAGCAAAACAACAAGAGAGGTTGGTGACAGGTAAATGTGGATATTCAGGTAACTTAACGAGTCTAGTTTAGGAGAGAGATAGGCTGACAGTTGGAGGGGGGACGAAGGAGGAATAATAGCGGAGATGGAAGTGGAAAGGAAGAGTCAACGAAGTAGTACGGAGAGACGACTCAAGTCGAGGAACGGGGGTACGTACAAGGAGTAGACGGAGAGTAAGAATGAGGCTGTTTCCACCGGGCTGAGTCTCAGTCCGCGTCTTCTTGGATGTCTGCCTGATAGACGAGCCAGACCATACTCGAAGAGGAAAGGTGCCTGGAGTCTCCCCATTAACAGTAAGTGATTGGCTGTGAGCGTGGGCTTGGATCTCCTCCACAGCCACGGCACTCGTTTCGGCCGGAGATACTCGGTACTGTAAGTAATCGCACATACTGTCTGGGCGTCCTCTTTTTCTATGTGCGATGACATGTGACTCTGAAATATAACCAATGCAATACCTGTATTTCACTTATTCCAGTTGAGGTCGGGGTTTCGGGGCGGTTTAGTCCCGTCCACGTTAGGTTTATTTCCACCGGGGTGCACTTTTCCCAGTTGGCCATTCAGGGGGCCCAGAATATTCTCTCATGCTCTCTCATGAGCGGGTTCCCGCGGAAGCCGGCCTTTCCGAAAATAGTCTGCGGACCCTCGACCCTCGAGTGACCCCGTCCAGCGATCTTGCCTTTGGCTTTTTCCTCTTTGGCTCTTCTCCTTACCGTTTCTGCTTGTCTCGCCAAGTCTCCAGCAGCATTAGTGCAAGCGTAAGAGGTGAACAGGGCAGCAGTTCTTTCTGCCAAGGGGGCTCTTTTCCACTACCTGCCATCCGTTGCATGACTACGGTAAGTTACTAAGCACTCATGAAAAAGGAACCAATTCAGTGGTTATTCAAAGCTCATAATAACAACACGGATTTGCCAGCGAAACTCCTTCAGACGATCAGGTGCTCATCATATGACGGAATGATAAATTATGCTCAACCACTGTCAGCGGCATCCTGCTTATTCCTAATTTCCCGATTAAATTTAGCCCTCGGGCGCTCTCTGATAGCGCGCGGCCGCCCAGTCAGACGAAGAGCCCTGGGACTGCTGGGGACGCATCGAGCGACCGTTGCGCGGCGCCCTAGGGCGACGAAATTATCTGCATTTTCGATCTTTTATTTCTGGTACGGACGAGATCTTTTCCAGCCAACCAGTGAAAAATAAAAGAGGTGAGTGTTGCGGGTAAAGTTTGGAACTTACATAGTAGTAGAAAATTTCCAACCCGTTTTGAGTTATTGAGGCCGATTGAACCAAACAAGTAACGAGTTTCTCCACGTCAGCCTTATCACCTGGTCGGAGGTGTCATCATTGCAGGTCCGGCATTTTAAGGGCTGTCAACCCGGCCACGTTGACTTGAGGACTGAATGAATCGTTTCAATGAAAGAAGTGAGCGCCTTGATCTACTCTATTGTAATCCAGGCCACCAAATTGGACGTTGTTCATAGTTTCACTACGGAAAATTTCGTGCCTGAAGTCAATTCGACTCACCTACTGTGTAATATTCTACCAATCAAGTCCTTCGAGCACCGCGATTCCCGCAAATGCCACCTCACCAGATGTACAGTACCTCGAGCCCCGAATGACAGGAAGCCACCTACGCAAAACAAGACTGCAGCCCTGGAGTCATTCTAGTGTATGAGCCTCATTGTAGTGACGACGGCCTGCATGAGATCAGTCCGCCGCGCAAGCTGTCAAGGCTACAACATTTCACTGCGAACGCATTGGTTCAATTGGCGCTCGTCTTGCAACCAACAAAAGATCTTATCAG